AGAGGAGAGCGCAAAATATGGTCTGAAGCTCAACATCAAAAACGAAGATCATGGCCACTGGTCCCATCACCTCCTGGCAAATAGAAGGGGAAGAAATGGAGGCAGTGAGAGATTTTACTTTCTTGGGCTCCATGATCACTGCAGATGGTGACAGCAGCCACGAAATTAAAAGACGCCTGCTTCTTGGGAGAAAAGCAATGACAAACCTAGACAGCATCTTAAAAAGTAGAGACATCACCTTGCCAACAAAGGTCCGTATAGTAAAAGCTATGGTTTTCCCAGTGGTGATGTATGGAAGTGAAAGCTGAACTATAAAGAAGGCTGATCGCCGAAGAATTGATGCTTTCGAATTATGGTGCTGGAGGAGACTCTTGAGAGTCCCATGGACTGCAAGAAGATCAAACCTCTCCATTCTGAAGGAAATCAGCCCTGGAAGGACAGATCCTGAAGCTGAGGCTCCAATACTTTGGCCACCTCATGAGAAGAGAAGACTCCCTGGAAAAGACCCTGATGTTGGGAAAGATGGAGGGCACAAGGAGAAGGGGACGACAGAGGACGAGATGGTTGGATAGTGTTCGCGAAGCTACCAGCATGAGTTTGACCAAACTGCGGGAGGCAGTGGAAGTCAGAAGTGCCTGGAGTGCTGTGGTCCAGGGGGTCACGAAGAGTCGGACACGACTAAACGACTAAACAACAACAACAAATATTTCCAATACCTAGAGCTTTTATTTAATCACTCAAAAGTCCTGGAATTACCACTGGCAGACCGCCTATCAAAAGGTGGAGTTAAGGAAACTTGTTATACTCTGATTCTTTTTTACAAGGGGAGGTCAGTATGTTCCATCAGGCATAAGGGTCTTTAATGCAAAATCGGTTTCCCAACTTCTCTACGCTTCAAACGTCTGGTACAACGGTTTGTTTCCCTAGTTAGACGGGTTCCAGGCAAAGTTTCTTTGGTCCCTATTACAGGTCCCAAACTCTGTCCCAAATTCAATTCTATTTTTGGAAACAGGTGAATGCCCACTCTCCACTAAAGCATGGTGGGCTGCCCTGAGATACTGGCTCAAGATCTCAGTATTTGGCCTGGGGAAGGAATTATTTCTACATTTAACCAATGAGGAGTTTATCACCCCATGGCTGAAAACTATGGCCAGAAAAGCCACCTTGATTGGACTGCCATCATCCCTCTTGTATCATCTGGGCTATGATACCGCCCTTGAAGCCCTGAGGCAAAGGCTCTGGGACATTTCACATAGCGACCTGCGATCTCAGTCTCATGTACGGTAATCTGTGGCCCAGTAGCAGTAGGAATCCAATATGGGTATGACTTTCAGATACCCTCATATCTTAGAAACCAGTCTGTACCAACCTATCAGCATTTATTTAGCACAGTCAGACTAAATGTATTTCCTTTTGAAGTTCTAAATGGTAGGCTGAGAGGCATCCCTTAACAGAATAGGCTTTGTTTATGTTCTCAGGATGTCGATTGCATTAAGCATATCTTACTGCATTGTGGGCAGTATGAGAAAGAAAGGGACCAACTGATCAAACCCCTACTGGCAAATCTGCCAGGAAAATCTGAAGCCTCCCATATTAAATCTTTTGGATGATAGGTCTAACAATATTATACTGGCCGTGACAACGTTTCTTTCGGAAATCAAAAGAAACAAAGATCATCAAGCTCAAGACAAAACAAAATGACCGCCTCGGTTTCTCTCTCTTTTGTGGTTGGCTGTCTTAACTGTATTTTGTTCTGAAATTGTTCTATGGGTCTTTGGACTGCAATAAAGATTTATTATACAGTCATACCTCATGTTACGTTGTCAGGTTGCATCCCACAGTGACCCGGAAGTACCAGAAAGGGTTACTTCCAGGTTTCGCCACTCGCGCATACACAGTAGCGCTAAATCACACTTTGCACATGCGCACAAGCACCAAATCGTGCCATGCACCTTTGCAGATATGGTGCTTCGGGTTGCGGGCTTTTCACGTTGCGAACGGGCCTCCGGAACGGATTCCATTCACAACCAGAGGTACCACTGTAAATATTGTAAGATGGAAAATGCATGAGATGTAAAATAAAAACTGCAAAATGCATAAATAAAATAAATATAAACTTCTCTTACTCACCTTTTCTCAAAACTAAAAAGTCCTAAATGCTGCAACTTTTCCACATATGGGAGTCACTCCAACCCCTTCGCTTGCCCTTTCAGAACCCTTTCCAACTCTCTAATATTGTTACAGATTTGGAGTAACAGAATATGGGGTAACAAGGGCACCTATAACTGCTTGAGCTAGTGAATGTTGGAAATTAATAAATTTATTTATATATAAATTTATATAATATTTGGAGAAATGAAGGGAAAATGCCAAGCCATTGAAAAACACAGCAGGCTAAAGCTTTTTCAGGCCAGGGCCTCACTTGGGATTGAAGTCATTAAGAATGACAAAAACATGCTGGAAACAAGTCACTGATTAAACTGTCAATGGAAACCATCAACAAGGCAGAAGGCTCTGCCAGTGAGTGGAGGAGATTGCCACTGTGACGGTGTGTGTGATGTCACACAAGAAAAAATTGTGCATTCGAAATTTTGTGCTTAGGGAAGAAGTAGGGAGAACTGCATGAGTTGCTTTGAAGGCCAGAACCATCTTGGCAAGCTGGTTGATGGCAGGCTGAGAGAGAGGCACACACACATAGATGTCTGGGAATCCAATGCTGGTTTGCTGTGAAGGACTGGCTCCTCCTAAGATATGAATCCTGTGAAATCTCTCTCCATTGAAAACTTCTGGTGTAAATATGTGTAAATAAATCATATTTCAAAGAAACTGCAGACTCTGCCACGCTTCATTTTCCCCAAAGGCACCTGGTTGAGTGCCAAGACCCTTTGGAGTCTGGGGTACTGCTTGGCAGATTGGGGTGGCCAGTAACATTATCCTTTTTGGGTGAGGTGACCAGAACGGTACACAATATTCGTAATGCAGTCACACCATAGTTTTGCATAACAGCATTATGAAGTCAGAGGTTTTACTTGTTGGAGAGAGAGGTTTGGAAGAGAGATCCTTATTCTCCAGTAGCAGGGTTAAGCAGAATGGTGATTGCTCCAAGCACATCTAAACTGGTTACATTTACATCTGCCCTCATCTACTTTTAAACAACATTTCCCATGAAAATATTTGGCTAGAATAAAGCACGGACACCTAGCTTTGCAAATAAGTGAATGTTTTATTCACAGTTTTTAGAAATGGCACCAAACAAGTCTCTGTCCTTTTGGCAATAAAACAAAGATGAAAAAAGGTTCCAAATGACTTTAAAACAGATATTGCAGTCTTTGGGTTAGCAAAGATGCAGGTTTTTAAATCTCCCCTTTGGAGATATTCAGTTCATTTGGTTTTTCTTTCAACTGGGAGCAACTGTCTGCATAACTCCTTGTTTGCTCGTTCCAGGAAGCACAAAGAGAAAAGACTGAGAACCAGGATGGTGGGGAGCAGAGGTTGCTGCAAGCCTGCTAAGGCACACTCACTCTGGTAAGGAGCTTACAGCTCAGGTTAACCCTTTCATGTTTGCAAGTGTGAGTCAGTACTGTAATTGTATATTACATTATTTTCAATTCTTTTCCTAATGACCCCCGGCATGGAATTTGCGTTTTTCACAGCTAACGCACACTGGGTCAGCACTAGCTTAGGCACTGTTTCAGTGGACAGTGCAGACCTTTGGTTGGACCAAGCTGCACTTTACTTTTGTTCTGGTCTGAACTCACATTTTGTAGCAGACAAGCTTTCTGCCAGTGTGCAGCCATCAAATAAGCAGCTTCCCCTAGGGGCCTGCTCCCACATCAGGTAGCCCTGGTTTATTATATGGTTTGCAATAATACTTGCATTTAGCAGCATAGTATCTTAAACAGCTTGTCACCAGCAAATGCCTTCCCAAACACTGGTGGCCTTTCCAGGCTGCTGCTACAGTGGTACCTTGGGTTAAGTACTTAATTCGTTCCGGAGGTCCATTCTTAACCTGAAACTGTTCTTAACCTGAAGCACCACTTTAGCTAATGGGGCCTCCTGCTGCTGCTGCGCCGCCGGAGCGCAATTTCTGTTCTCATCCTGAAGCAAAGTTCTTAACCTGAAGCAAAATTTTGGGTTAATGGAGTCTGTAACCTGAAGCGTATGTAACCTGAAGTGTATGTAACCCGAGGTACCACTGTACTTTGCAGCTTGGATTTAACATATCAGCAAATTCAGGTTTCTGCAGTATAATCAGAACTTTTGTGGTAAGGAAAGTGATGGGAAAATGCAGCTGAAAGTGTGGGATGACCCACAACATATAATAGTCCTGCAAGTAAATCGGAACAAAATGTTCAGTGTGCAGTTGACATCCTATAACCTGTCCACAAACTATAGACCCTCCAATGCAAAAACCTGGACCATTTGTCTCTTCAACCAAGGTATAACAATACAGCAATACTGAAGAAAATTACCCATAACGTACACTTATTACAAGGGAATAGTGTTTCATGGTTGGGCCCTATTTCATATGCCAATACATCAGATGTGAAAAATACATGTCACCTACCAAAAACAGGTTTGGCCTCTTTTGTGCCACAAAGGACTTTGTCCTTTTTACTTTTTGTTACTTCTTTTTAATGAAATGTCTGTATATTCATGACCTTATTATATCTGTCCTACGTCGGAAAGAATGGTGGGTTGTTGTTTTTTGTATATGTTGTTATTTTTTTTTGATGTTCTTATATATTTGAAAACGCAATAAAAATATTTTAAGATTTAAATATTTACTCATATACAAACTTTCTGCAAACGTATCCGGACGGTAATGCTCCTCGGTAATGACTGGAGACCATTTGAAATTCAGACACCGGGGAGTGAAAAGCCGGCAAGGTTGCGCTAGAGCGCAGCTGGACTACAATTCCCAACTTCCCTGAGCGCGGCTGCCTGTACTCCTACAGCGCCCCGCTAATCCGCCCGTTTCAAAGAGGCCTTCCGGCCCTATGACGCCTTTCCCCTCCGCCGGAAATGCGCGCGGCGCGGCCCTCTACCCGTTCCCCGCCTCCTGCCTCGCCACTCGCCTCCGACTGGCTAGCCGAGAATCCCCTTTCCTGATTGGCGGAGAGGGCGGCGGCGAGGCCGGGGCGGAGCGGGGTTTTCTGGGTAACCGGCGAAGGAGTCTCTCTGCGCGGCGGCGGCGGCCGCCATGGCGGGCCGAGGGCCGCCGCTTTGCTACGCGCTGCTGTGCGGGCAGGCGGCGCTGCTGCTGGGCAACCTGCTGCTCCTGCAGGGCGTGCCGCGCAGCCTCCAGCACAACGCCACTCTCGGCCCCGAGCAGCCCGACGCGGAGCCCCCCGCCAGCGCCGGAGGCGCCTTCTCCTGCCAAGGCCACGGCCCCCACGGCCCGCTCGTGCGCTGCGACCACCTGTAAGGTCCCGCGAGACTTCCGGGAGGGGGGGCGGGGAGGCGGCCATCTTCTCCCCCCTCGCCGGAGCCTGAGAGGCGGCTTCCTGGCGCAGCTCGAATTGGCACCCTGGCCTCTCCCCGGCCCAGTCAGGCAGTGGAATATGGGAAGGGAGTTAAAAGGATATGGGGCCCAGGAGGCGGGTGAGGTCCGGCTGGGATCTGTGACTGGGCTGGCCGAGGCCAGGGTTCAGATCCTACCACAGCCATGAAGCTCGCTGGGTAGCCTTGGGTCGTAGAATCGCAGAACTGTAGAGTTGGAAGGGACAGTGAGCGTCATCTGGTCCAACCCCCTGCAGCAGGACAGGAATTTTTGCCCAACCTGGGGCTCGAACCCACAACCCAAGAGGCCTCACAACTTCTCAGTGTTGCTGGGAGGATAAACGAGGAGAGGAATCATAGAATCATAGAGTTGGAAGAGACCACAAGGGCCATCGAGTCCAACCCCCTGCCAAGCAGGAAACACCATCAGAGCACTCCTGACATATGGTGGTCAAGCCTCTGCTTAAAGACCTCCAAAGAAGGAGACTCCACCACACTCCTTGGCAGCAAATTCCACTGTCAAACAGCTCTTACTGTCAGGAAGTTCTTCCTAATGTTTAGGTGGAATCTTCCACCTAAGAACAGTGTTTGCCACCTGGAACTCCTTGGAGAAAAAGTGGGGTCTAAATGTAGTAAAAAAAGTAAAAAAATACCCTTGGCATACTGTCTTGGCAGGTCTGCTTAGCAGAGGTATGCGTCTGGCTGGCACTGGCCAGCTGTCACATTAAGCAGCCTGGAGGAATGCTATTTTGGGCACCCTTGGCAGGGGCAAAACTAGGCTTTATTTCACCCAGGTCAGAGACTCAGTATGGCACCCCCTCCCCCATGCATTTGTGTACTTACACACAAGCTGTGAGCCTCAATGGCACCCCTCTGGAGGCTTCACCGTCCTAGGGTAAAAAACCCCAGCTAGCCCCCACCCCCTGGTAGTTACAGCCCTGCCCTAGGGCACTGTTGGAAATTTTAAATTGTGTCCTGTAGTTTCTTGCTGCCCGGTGTGGTGAGGGCCAGAGGAAGCATCAAAATTGGTGGGCCCTGGTGGGTGTTCAGAAGTGCTGAGGAGTGCAGTGAGGACTGCAAGGTGAGGACACAACCTCTGGGGGCAGGAGTCAGGATCCACAGGGGCAGTAGATCTGGCCTCCAAGGAATGTATAGCCAGTTCTACAGTAGCAACTGCTGTGGTGTGTTTCTTGGAGGCCAGATCTGCCACTTCCTTGGCAGCCCCTGCCCCATGCTGCCTCTACAGTGGCAGCATGGTGAATAGGAGGTGCTGCTGGTTTCCTCCCACTCCAGGGAGAAAATGGCAGGGGCTGCTCCTGGGGTCATAATTTGAGGCCGGTGGAGGGTGGCACAGTGTTTTGCTGCATCTCTGTTGCCAAAATGTCTTGGAATGGTCCTGGGTAGTGATAGGCATTGTGACTTAAGGCGCATTCAGTCCTACACTCTAAGGTCAACTTTAAAAAAATTACTTCTGTACCGATTGCATTGTTTTAAAAAATCCAGACAGAAACTTCAGCAATAAAGGACTATACTGCCAGCTCAGAGTAGGAGTCAGCTGAGATGGTGGTTTAAACACAGATGCAAATCCAGTTGCTACTGGCGTAAACTGATGCTTTCTGGGCACACAGCTGTGAAAGCTCCTTAGTTTAGTTTAGTTTATGTGTGAAGAACTAAAGGGATAAGGATGGAACACAAAGGGTTTTTTAACAGTGGAAGGCTGTGGCTTGTGCATGGAAGGATGAGTGGTGCTGGGGTGGAAGACATAGGCGTTGCCAAAGTCTAGGGCTGGGATATGAATCGGAGCAAACTGGAGGCAAGACAAAGGCCTGGAGGGGAGTGGCAGAAGTTGATGTTGGGCAAAGAGAGGGGATGGTTGATGGGAAAGGGAGAAGGGAGTGTGTTGGAAATGGAGTATTAAACTTGATGGCAGGTGTCTCGGGTCAAGGATGAAAGGTTAGGTGCAAGCAGTAAACTGCCCCAGTTAGGAAGGTACAGTATGTTGGAGAGGCTGCTACGGAAGCAGACTGGAGAAGGGATGGGGTTAAATTGATGCTAGCCTGATCAATCTAAGGAAACTGGGGAACATTCATGAATTACTGCTGTGCTCTGACTTCAGCCTTTGTTCCAGCTCTTGGTCCTTGTTGCTTCTGTACTTAACTCTGGAGCCAGTGTGATGTAGTGGTTAAGAGCGGTAGACTCGTAATCTGGGGAACCGGGTTCGCGTCTCCGCTCCTCCACATGCAGCTGCTGGGTGACCTTGGGCTAGTCACACTTCTCTGAAGTCTCTCAGCCTCACTCACCTCACAGAGTGTTTGTTGTGGGGGAGGAAGGGAAAGGAGAATGTTAGCCGCTTTGAGACTCCTTCGGGTAGTGATAAAGCAGGATATCAAATCCAAACTCCTCCTCCTCTTCTTCTTCTTCTTCTTCTTCTTCTTCTTCTTCTTCTTCTCAAAATCAAACTCACCTTGTGGTTTATTTGCAGACCTGAGGAGTTTGTAGAGTGTGAGGCTCCCATGGATCATGGTGGAAATGCAAGTGCACGAGAGGAACTGGGCTATGGATGTCTCAAGGTGGGCTCAAAAGGGATTATTTTGCTAGTCTAATATTAGATAAATGTCTGGCAAATTTGGGGTAGGGATAAAGAGAGGCTCGATTTCCTGCTCCCTATGTTCCAAGATAAATGTACATTATGGAAAATGTATACTTAAAACAAGGAATCTAGCCTAATAAATTCTCAATTCTGTCCGCTGTTGTTGTTTTGTCCCTGTAATAGTTTGGTGGTCAGGCATATAGTGATGTGAGCCACACTCAGGTCCAATGCAAGGCACTGGATGGCATCGAATGTGCAGGCCAGCGGACCTTTCGGCGGGGGAATAAGCCATGCATAAAGTGAGTTTCCTTTTTGCTTTGTTTCTTGAGATTATTGAACCCAGAATTCCTTTACAACACTCATTGTGTGACAGGCAGTGCACAGGCTCATCCCCACTTCTGTTTGTGCCATACTTTCTAGCCACAGCTCTATGTCCAAGCTGCCTTTTTTTGGTCCAGCTATGACACGGACCTTGTTTGCCACTGAATCGGAACAAACATCAATTTTCAACAAACATCAGTTTTCCGTGAATTACAGTTTGTTCCAATTCAGAGGTAAACAGCAGGTTTTCCTGGGGAAAACGGCAGGACAACAACAACAACAACAAACTTATTGAAAATGGACCTAGAGATCATGGGCCTGTGCCTAGAAAGCGCAGCACAAATGGAAGTGTGGATGAGTTCTATGCAAGACAGATCTGACTCTCCTCTCCCATATTGTGCCTTACTGACTTCAAGTGTAAGGAACTATTCTTGCTCACAAACGAAGAGTAAATGCAGGTCTCTTCACTGTTCCAGCCAAGGCCTATGTAGGCACAGTCTAGTACAGGGGTAGTCAACCTTTTTATACCTACTGCCCACTAATTCATCTTTCCTTACAAATTTCCTTACTGCCCACCAGTGCTCGATGGAAGAAGGATTCAGCTTGTGCCATAGAACCCCCTACCACCCACCTAGAATCCTGAAATGCCCACTAGTGGGCGGTAGGGACCAGGTTGACAACCCCTGGGCTAGTACATTTTAAGTACAGTACATAGAGATTCTGTGCATGCTCCTTTATGCCCATTAGAGGGAACTGTTGTACAGTGAAGGCAAGGGTGGATACCAGCTCACCATGTGAAAGTTTTATTCAGTTTTGTTCTCTCTCAGATACACGGGGCACTACTTCATAACTACTCTCCTCTACTCCTTTTTTTTGGGCTGCTTTGGAGTGGATCGCTTCTGCCTGGGGCACACAGGCACAGCTGTAGGGAAATTGCTCACTCTTGGAGGACTTGGGATCTGGTGGTTTGTGGACTTGATTCTTCTTATCACTGGGGGACTGATGCCCAGTGATGGAAGCAACTGGTGTACCATTTACTGAAAGTCTACAACTCTGACTGGACCTAAACCAAAGAAGAAATGGGAGGAGATTCTTTGTTCAGCTGGAGGTCTAATGTTTGGATCGTGTCTTGTAGCAGGTATAGAGGCTACACTGGTGTACTCATTTTGCTGTGGAATGACATCCTTCTAAAATGGAAATACCATAAAAATGCAAACCATAATTCTGCTATACATACCTCATTGTCTTGTTTAAATGGAAGCTATGCTTTCCCCATCCACAAGGACCTGGGAAAACTTCTGCCCAGGTAGAATAAACCTCAAAAATGGATTTACAACTGTCATGAAGGTATTGAAGTTCTTTATATCCTTACACACTTGTGTACGCTCTAGGAGGTGCCAAAGTAGTAACTGGCTTACCCTACTCTGCTTAATCCTAGTTCTCATTGCTATACACTTTAGAAGAGGTTTTCCAAATAAGTTTATGCCGCCTATATTAGCTGAAAATACCTAATGAAGTTGATGTAACTGCAAAAGTTACTTTCTTGTTTGATTTTAGCTCACGCTGGCAGGACTGTTTTCCCATAAGAATGTTGGCCCACAGGTCCACATGAGACAGAATGCTCCCTTAAGTTTCCCTTTCTTGTAAAAGGACGTGAAGTCTTCGGGATTGCATCCTCATTCTCTGTTAATCTGATATTGTGATGGGATGTGGGGGAGTAGTTATCTTGACATTTAGCAATGTCAAGCCCAATTTATTGCAGAACTTCTGAATGTTTTTGCAAAGCCAGAGAAACCCAAGTGTAGTAAACTGCCCCTGCCCTCCCCAAATGGCCATTTGCTGGCTCATTTTAATAAAGTAGGGGAATTGGACTATTTTCAGTATCAGCCACAATTTAAATTGCAATTAATGAGGAAGAATGCCTCTTCTCAGTGTGTTAGACTGACAGCAGTACCTGATTAGTCTTTCCTAACCTCTATTTAAGTATGTTCTAGTGACTAATGATCAGTCCATGCTGTAGGTCAGGCCTGTGGCTGGTTGGCGGTGTGTGTGTGTGTGTGTGTGTGTGTGTGTGTGTGTGTTAATGCATGTGTACTATTCAGTAACAGCATGTAAAATGTATTTCCATGTTGAGCAGATGCAGGGTTTTTTTAAAAGCTGATGGGTAAGAATAAAGTTTGGAGATCTTAAACTTAAATGTGTAACTATTTTAATCTTGTTTTGAAATTGTTATAAAAATTATGTTCTAGAGCAATAACTGGAAGTGGCATGGGGATGGGTATTCTGAAAAGCTTGTTTGTTCCCATCAAGAGATTGGCAAGTACTATCACTTGGAGCAAGGGTCAGCAAACTTTTTCAGCAGGGGGCTGGTCCAATATCCCTCAGACCTTGTGGGGCTGGACTATATTTTTTGGGGGGAGGTGGACAAATTTCTATGCCCCACAAATAACCCAGAGATGCATTTTAAATAAAAGGACACATTCTACTCATGTAAAAACATGCTGATTCCCGGACCGTCTACGGGCTGGATTGAGAAGGCGTTTGGGCTGGATCCAGCCCCTGGGCCTTAGTTTGCCTACCCATGACTTGGAGAGTAGGTGCTTAATCTCCTCACCTTGGAGGAGATACTTATCTATCATATTTTGCCTTTGCTTCATGGTGTTGGGAAGGAATATCCACCAGAGCCGGCATTCTCAAGACTGAAGTGGCCTTAATGGCACCTGCCAGCCCTGCACCTGGATAGGTCTGTATTAAACTTAATTCTTGTATTGCAGGCAACCTCCAACATTTGGCACACCTTCAGCTCTTCAGTTGGCCCACTAGAAAATGGGATGTCAAGTTAAATCTCTGTTTGTGTGTAGTAGGGGCATTGCACAAGGTGACCTTCAGCCTACAGAGATCTGTGATTGAAAGGAATTCCTACCCCCTGCTTGACTGTTTTGTCTCACTTAAATGAGTATTTTTTAAAAAAAGAAAGAAAATGGCTTGTCCATTTTCTATTTGAAATATTTGATTTGTTCATACTGGAAAACTAAGAGCTACAAGTATGTTTCCACTTTGTACAGTTCTTTCCTAAACTGTTTCTGATAAGAGTATACAGCAATTTAGGATTTCAACACAAACTTTTTCTGCAGAGGGCACCTTTTTTTAATCAATTTCATCAGGTGTAACTGTCACAATGAGATCTTCGTTTCCTCGCCGTACAACAATGGAGAGGGTGTCACTGTTTTGAACAGTGTCTGTTACATCTCGGGTTGAAGTGACTGTTTTCCCATTAATTGCTATAATGACATCACCATCTTGCAAGCCAGCACTGCAACCAAAGACAGAAATGTTAAAATATAGGAAGCATTTGATTATGGCACACTTACTTTTTATTGTGGCCAAACTGTTAGATAGCCTTAGTTTCCCCTTATCAAGTACTCTTTCAGGTTGGCCCCTTCCTCCTACTGCACACATAACTTCTAAAAGAAGCACAGGTTGCTTTGGAAGAAGCACTGCAAGGACTCCTATCTTAGGAGAGACCTTACCACCTTTAGTGGCCATGTGTCAACATGGGAAGCTTTCAGAGTACTGGATGTCAGTACAAAACTTCTTTGGGCTAAAGGGAATTGTATGAACATCTGCCCTCAGGGCTGCATCACAGCTGTCCCTGTAATTCAGCATAGAAAGCGTGTGAGATGCAGTCACATTTTGACAGACAAGCACCTGGGGTGGAAGCCGCTGCCCAACATCTGTCCCCAGGAGAGTGCGCTAGGGCTGGCGATAACTGGTTTTCAATATTGCAATATATCACCAGCTAAACATTGTGATATATCGATGTATCAAAAAAAGAAGAACTACGCAGAGGCAAATAGGACAATGTCCTGGCAACTGCTACTACTTAAGGGTCTAAAACTGATAAATTATTATACAGTGGTAAAGGTAAAGGGACCCCTGACCATTATACAGTGGTACCTTGGGTTAAATACTTAATTCGTTCCGGAGGTCTGTTCTTAACCTGAAACTGTTCTTAACCTGAAACACCACTTTAGCTAATGGGGCCTCCTGCTGCCGCCGCGCCGCCGAAGCACGATTCCTGTTCTTATCCTGAAGCAAAGTTCTTAACCTGAAGCACTATTTCTGGGTTAGTAGAGTCTGTAACCTGAAGCGTGTGTAACCCGAGGTACCACTGTATTCACCTCATGGTACTTTCAGCAGCAGGCAAGCCAGAATGCATCCAAATGAGACTTTTGGTTTTGGGCTTGGCTACCAAATGGTGGTAATCAGAACAATCCAAAGTTTGGTGATGTGTCATAGCGAATACCAATGCTCTGGGACTTCCAGCAGGCCTGCTAGGAGGCGGCAGCGGCAGCAACAGCCTGGCAATGGCAGAATCAACGATCGGGGGGGGGGGGGAGCAGTGGCAGTCTGGCAGTGGCACAATAATCAGCAGCCTGTGAAGCCTCACTTTGGTAGTGGACAGTGGCAGCAGAAGCGGTGGCAGCCTGCGAGGACTTGTTGCGGTGGCTGCAGTAGTGGTGACCTGCAAGACCTTGTGGCAGAGGCAAAAGCGACAATGGCCTGCAAGGCCTTGTCATGGCGGTGGCAGTAGTACTGTGAGGTGGCAGCAGCACTGTGAGGCCTTGCAGTTGTGGCAGAAGATGGCAGAAGCAGAGGTGGCCTGCAAGACCTCATTAAGGCAGGCTGCCACAGCTTCTGCCATCGCCTACCACTACTGCCAGGAGAGCTTGCAGGCCACCGCCACTTCTTGCCACCATGGCAAGGCCTTGCAAGCTCCACTGCTGGTGTTGCCATGAGGCCTCGCAGGCTGCCACTACTATTGGTGCAATGCGTTGCCGCTGCAAGACCTTGCAAGATGCCACTGCTACTTCTGCCCTCTCCCGTTGTCGCCATGAGGGCTTGCAGACTACCACTGATTGTGCCGCCACTGTGAGGCCTTGCAGGTTGTCACCGCTTTGCCGACATGTACTGCGGTCATGGCAAGCTGTTTCTGTCTCCTAGCAGGCCTGCTGGCAGTCCCAGATTTTTTGTATTCACTGTGACTCATCACCGTACTTTGGAGTGTCCTGAGTGCCATCATTTGGATGTATTTTGGCTTGCCTGCTGCTGAAACTGTGTGTGTGATGATCAAAAATATTGCCATTTATCTGTTTTAGTCCCCTAAGTAGTAGCAGTTGCCAGGACATTGATAACACTGTAGTGTTTAGCTGGTGAGTTAGCGTGATGTTTAGTTGGTGAGTTATTGCCTAGCCCTTACACACATTGTGATTCGCAATCTATTGCCAGCTCAAATATGGAACAACACAATGAACTTCAAACTGGTTTTGGCTGATATATCAACATATTGCCCAGCCTAGTGTACACCCAGATTATTAGGTTTTGTTTTAATTTTGCTTTAAAAGTGTTACTGTAAAACCACCTTAAGTTTGTTCTAAAGTTGGAAACATAGTTTGCACACTTTGTGATCTTCACTCAGGCCTTTCTCTGTACAGCAGCCTTCCCCAGCCCAGTGTCTTCCAGATGTTTTGGACTACATCTCCAGCAGCTGGTACTGATGGGAAGCTGTTGTCCAAAACACCTGCAGGCTGTTAAGACACCCTTTCTACAGGGAACTCTTCTACAGCTGCCTCAGGCTGCCCTAGTTTCCTGCCCGCCTTGGGGATTAACATTCACAGAGGGGTCTAAGTGGGTAGGCTGTCCCTGGGCTATTTCCTATCTAATTATTCCTGCTCCTAGAAGACTCGTGTGAGCCATGGTTATGCAAACAGTTTAGTAAATGCACCTCTGTACAAATCTTCATAAAGAATATAGTGTTTCTCTCTCTCTTTTTTAATCCCATGGGGAACAGGGAATTGGATGCAATAACAGCTCACTCACTGGCTTCAGCAAGACCCCCTCATAATAAAGTTTGAAGGGATGACATTTTGTGCCTCTGCTCAGATAGGCAAACAGAGCAGCCTGGTGAGGACTGGTACCACTTACCTAGGATGGCTTTTACCTCTTCAAGAATATGCTTGACCCTTATTCACAACCTGAACCACCATAACAAATGCTGCAGCCAGCCTTAGCTAAGCGCTGCACTGGTGCAAAGCCAGAGTGCACTCTTCAAAAATCAGCTGCCCCCGTCTATCTCTTGAGTAGGGCTTCCAGCAGGTGTGGAGAATCATAGCCCCCCCTCCCCCGATGTTGCTGAACTAAACAGCAGGGCACTTGCTTTGCAATATGTCCAGTGTTTAATGCAGGTAACACAACATACACCGTTATGCTGTTATTAAAACATAGTTCACTACTGGGTTTAAGGGACTTAAATCAATGCATGAAATATGGGGGGGGGGGGTGCTGAACAAAGCTGACTTATAGCACAGGTGTGTCCCTGTGGCCAAGATCCAGTTCTGTGCTGCAATTTTGTTTTTGTTTTTTAACATTTTCTGCAAGAACTTGGGTAGCACCGTATTATCATTGCAGAGAAAGTGTGTGTGAGAGCAGCATTTCTAAATCAGAAACATTCCCAGAGAAGCAAGGCAAGCACTCTTACTTTCTATCCAATCCCAATAGTATATGGGTGGGTAGAAATTAATATTTTACCTTGCAGCTGCTGTTCCTTGAATCACTTCGTAGACATAGACACCCGAGCTCAGGTCTGGGAAATCCCTGTCCCGCCGTCTCAGTTCACGGATGAGACTAAGGGAAAAGATCAGGACAGTATAGTCAATCAGGTGGTCTACCCACTAAATGCAGAAATCCCAAATCTAATCAAAACACTGTAGGTGTTTAGCAGCACAACTGAGGTGAGTATAACAAGCCATGGCCTCCCCCAACCCCTCCCCCCACAACTGGTGATAGTGCTGCCAGGAAACATCCCTGCCAGCAGGGGACAATACATGGGCATTGGTGGTGGGTGTGAGGAGACTGCACACCCTTCACTAGTTTGAATTTGTCTGGGGAGGTGGGGTGCCCTACTGCAGCTTGAAAGAGGAACACTGAGGACATCACCACCGTCAACATTTCCCCAAGTTATACCTATTGAGCAAATGTTAAGTTTCCCACTTAAGCTGTTTTAGGGACTAGGTGGGAAATAATGGTTTAAGGGGCAGGTTACAGAACAGGTCCTGAGTGACCACTGGCAAATGAGTACTCAAATAACTTTATTTGGGGGGGGCTTCAGTCATGCAATACTAACATGAACTTGGCCTAACACAGAGGCCAGGCGGGAGCCACACAGGTGAAAGACAGGGATGTGGGACTGAAGACTTACTTGAAAGTGAGAGGGAGCATTCGGAGTCCCAGGTATTTTTTCTTGGGTCTGATCTTCCCTAGAGAGACATGAGAGTTAGAAGCATTCTCAACAAAGTCATGAAAAGAAAGGACAGGTTGGGTCTGGCCCCCTCTCTTTCTCTGTGTACACAAAGGCCTAAACAAGCAGGTGTTCCCCTGCTCTGCACTCAAAAAAAGGACAGAGGGATTGTGTGAACTAGACAGAAGGTTCTCTGATAGCCTTAAAAACACGTCTATTCATAAGAAAGTGGGAATCTCCTTTCCAGGGATTCAGAGAAGAGTCTTTACCTGCTCTGCCTGGAGATGTTGGCAATTGATCCTGGGGTGCAAAGCAGTTGCTCTCCCGCTGAGTTACAGCCGTTTCTACTGCCTACAGGGAGTGTCTGCGTGGGAGCCCTACCTCACAAAACAAGAAGCAGGCTTCCTATTACCTTTCATGTAGCGATTGTGATAATCTTCCAGGAACTGGCGGATTCTATCAGAGGGGATGGCAAAGGAGATGCCGGCTGTGACCTTCAGGGTGTTCATTCCAATGACTTCACCATCCTAATGGAAAGAGAGCAGCTGCTGTGGCCAAATGGAAGGATTTCCATCCCCTTTCACACCTTTTTTCTCTTATCACATTATTTCCTTTATAAATGTATTATTTTTTTTAAATACACACAAAAAATACAGATAGTGGCTAGTGGAAGAATGATAAAAAAACACACTTTAAGTTTAGACAAAAATGAGAGGTGAGAAACAATAAAATAATATCTTACCAAGTTTACCAATGGCCCTCCAGAATTCCCATACTGCAAAAGAGAACAGAATTGAAGAGGGGTTAATCAATGCATTCCAAATCCACTTCTTACAGAATTCACAGGTGATGGAACATTTGCCAATGTGCTTCCAAAGAGTTTACAGCCCATTTTGCCTACAATCATCAGAATTTTCTTAGGTTTGTAGTGTGTTAAGTCACTCTCTAAAAAAGCCCCAGCCTCTGACTGACTTGGCTTCAGCTTCTCAACCATCTGCTCCCACCCCAGGCCCCACCTGTGCTTCTGTGCACTCATGGAAACAGTTTCTCCTATAGAACTTAAGGTCCCTGACAAACACATTTCAAAGAAGCAAAAATGTATATGTAAATATGTGCCTGCCTGAATATCCAAGTGGGTCAGAACAGATCCCCCATCCCTGGCAGGGCTGCACTTGCTTGTCAACACGACACAATGTCAGAGGACCCATTTTTCTCTTGCAGCACGGCAAATTGTACAACCATGGAAACTCAAAGGCCAAGCAAGCATTGCTTGAAGTTACTGCTGGTTGGTGCTGACTTGAAGCCCCCCTTGGGCAGGGTCCCCACTGGTCTCAGCAGGCTTGAAGTAGCTGCCAATCAGGTGATTTGTGCTGCTTCAAGCTCCATTTCCTGGCAGGGCTTGGATGCGCTATGGAGCTCCCCGTGGATATCTCATTGGGCAGGCTGTCACTGGCAACCGGCTGACTGGTGCAAACGACAAGCCTCTTTTCCAAGGAACTATCAGAAGACCCTTTAAGGCTCCCAATGGCATGTTGGCAGTCCTACAGGTATTATGACGTTGAGGTGGGGCAGGGGAGTGTGGTTTTGAGGGAAACTCAGGGGCCAAATTTGGCTTGGAGGCTAGAGGTTCCCCAAGCCTCAAAGAATCCCTCCTCATTCATTTCTACCCACTGCAAGATCAAAGAGAAGGCGGGCATGCATGCAAGACAGAAGGAGAAACCCAAGAAGAATGGCAAACCAAAACTCCACCAAACCTCCTGGCAGCAATGCTACTGACTGCCCCATTTGAGCTGGAGGAGCGTCTCCCCCCCCCCCCCCGAGTCTCTTACATTTATAATGGCGTCAGTCTGGATGTATTCCATGTCAGAGTCCTTAAGGCCAAGCTCCTTCCCATCTCTCTGCGTGCTGCTCACAATTCCCGTTGTCACGGTGTTTTGCAGGGAGAAAGGGCTGCCCAGAGCCACCACAAACTCCCCAGGACGCAGCTCAGAGGACTTGCCCAGCAGGAGGACTGGGAGGGCCATCTGCACAGGGTTTAAAATATGGTTTTTATTTTTTAAAGGGGTCACTCACCTGGTCCCCTGTGGCAATTCAGACTAGTTTGTAGGCAGAGAAGCTACCATTGTTTCTTCCTGCCCATAAGTAGCTAGTGTGTGGACCGGCAGGCTTGAGAGGCAGCAGTTGTAGTAGTGGCCTTCTTCGATTCTGCTCTCTCAAATACCAGCCCAGTTTATGGAATGAATTCTGCCACCCTCTTTACACCACTGTAATATGACAAGAAAGAGTCTGAGCCTTGGGGGTTTCTTGTCCTGCTGAGAAACAAAGCCGTTCTCACCTGGGGGTCTATTTTGATCAGGGCGATGTCCAGTTTGTGGTCAACATCTTTCACCTTGGCATCAAACTGGTGGCCATTCTGGAGCTCCACTTTGATCCTATGCTTGTTGGTGAGAACATGGGCGTTGGTGAGGATCAGGCCATCCTCGGACACAATGAAGCCCGAACCGCTGGATACCAGGACTTCTTTGTTTGTGTAAGGTGACCTGCCACAGGGTCACACAGAGTCGAATTCACTACCGCTAGCCACAAAATCTGCATTCATTCATTTATCATTTCAATTTGTATCCCACCCTTCCTCTCAAAGCCCAGCAACAGATTAATACAATTAAAAATAAAATTAAGGCATGTTTAAAACAGGTAAAAACAAAGGTCTGAGCAATGAGGCTGGAGATATAGCATGTTTAGAGCAGTGAGACTATTTACCCTGCCAACAAATCAGTCCAAATGTAACCTTTCCTTCCCTGTGACAAGCTTGGGGCAAGTACAGTATGAGGGAGAAACATATCCACTTCAATGGGAAAAAGCGAGCAATGCAGGAGTCTGACTGGCCAGCATCTGTCATGCCACCAACATACCTATGTTACATAACAATTTTGCAACATCCATAAAAATGTTTGCTTTTTTAAAAAAAAAAGTAAGAAAATAGCATGAGGTGAAAGCTGAATGCATAAAAAAAAACACACGACCAAACATACCATGTGTTTTAAAAACTGTTTGGCCTGTCCAGGAGGAAAAACAAGACTCACACATTTCACCCAGCATCTCTCATCTTGCTGGAAGGTCTGCACGTTGCAGAAACTTGCAAAATCAGGACAAATCTAGGCTTATGCTGGAAGTGAAGAGCCTGCTCTGCAAATACTGTATCTGTCCTACTCTTTAGCTTTGGATTAACAAAATACAAATAGGTACCAAAAACACCTGAAGCCAGCCCTGTTTAGGGAAGTTTTTAATGTTTGATATTTTATCGCTTTTTAAATATTCTGTTGGGAGCCACTCAGAGTGGCTGGGGAAATCCAGCCAGATGGGCGGGGTATGTATGTAATGTATGTATGTATAAATAAATAAATATTAACAACAAGAAACTTTCCATACAAGACAACAGAGGAGAGGAGAGGAGAGGAGAGGAGAGGAGAGGAGAGGAGAGGAGAGGAGAGGAGAGGAGGATGACCTTCACACTGCAAATCATATTTAAGAGGAAAGCTCTTAAGGCATATGAGCTTCTGCAAATCTAACTAATTCCCATATAACATCCATGTTTGTACCACTCAATAGTTCAAAGTTTGATATAAAAACAAGAAAATAAAGGAAAGTGATGCAGCTCAGTGAGCAGGTACATGTTTTGCTTGCAGAAGGTCCCAAGTTGAGTCTCCAGGTGGCTGATGGGGTCTTCTGGAGCTAAACAAGACTTTGGCCATAATCCAATACAGTGGAACCTCGGGTTACATATGCTTCAGGTTACAGACTTCGCTAACCCAGAAATAGTACCTCGGGTTAAGAACTTTGCTTCAGGATGAGAACAGAAATTGTGCTCTGGCAGCCCCATTAGCTAAAGTGGTGCTTCAGGTTAAGAACAGTTTCAGGTTAAGAATGGACCTCCGGAACGAATTAAGTACTTAACCCGAGGTACCACTGTACTAAACTATATGCTTAAGCCCATTGATTATGACATTATGCCTATTGAAAGCTGTTTCAGATCTGCTCCTAAGTTATCCATGCATAGTACTTCTGACTATACTATATCCTATCAGACAATAACTCAAATAAAAATTAAGCCAAGCTTTAATCAGGGCAGTCAGCTAATGGAAATATTTGCCTTCAAATTGCTTAGTAATCCTAAAATCAAGCAGTGGATCTATTTCCCTGTCAAAAGCTCTTCTAGGTGGAAGATAACGTATCAGTAAAATTTAATTAATTCCCATCCATCCTCATTTGAGGGCAATGGAGAGAAATTAATTACACCAGCTCCATGCTGGTGCGGCCTGAGAGGAATGGATTTACTTTGGATTACGGAGATCCACCATCAGCTCTGCCTAGCCCTTCAAATGCCCAGTTTGAAGCTCTCAAGAAAGATCTCAGGGGCCACACCAAGGCAGTGCTTTTCTGCTGGCAGAGGGCACCTCCACCATCTCCTAAAACCCTCCAGCAGGAATCACTAGGCAGTTAACGTTGCAGCCTCAATCAAGTGCCTTCATATTACATAGCTTAGTTGCACTTTGCAGGCTTTGTTGAGCAATCAGATGGATTAATTGATTAAAAACAATATTTGTACTGACTGGAAAGGTGCCTCTGAACTGGGAAACTTTTTTTAAAAAATTGATGGTTTCTGATTTCTAAAAACCCCAATGGCCATATTAGAAAAGGCATTCTCTCTCACATTGCATGGTGCCCTGCTGCCGCACAACCATGCATTGTTTAAAATATGGTTACATTATTCAAAAACTGTTTTTATTTACAAACAAATGTATGCAGATTCAATTGATTCATTAATCGTTTAAAACTCATATGATGAACTGACCAAGATTTCTTAAACCAAGTGACCAAGGTTCAATATGCTGCTGTAATAAAATAAAACAAAAGTGTGCAAGCCGTGATGACTATGTCTTAAGCATCGCCACACAAGACCACCCTTCCCCCAGGCTGAAAATGGCCTCATTCACTGCTTTGGCTGAAGCTCCTGGCTTTAAAGCAGGCATAGGCAAACTCAGCCCTCCAGATGTTTTGGGACTACAACTCCCATCATCCCTGACCACTGGTCCTATTAGCTAGGGATGATGGGAGTTGTAGTCCCAAAACATCTGGAGGGCCGAGTTTGCCTATGCCTGCTTTAAAGAGCTGGGAGAGGCAGCTCCCATAGCGCCACAGTTGACCAAGGAATAACCTCTGCAAAAAAAGTTAATGGGCAGACAAGTGGCTAATTTCTCCCTCTAACTAATGGAGCTTACCTGCGGAAGAGTTCCAAGTGCACGACGGCAGGAGCAATCTTCTCCACCACGTCAGCAATAAAGTTGAACTTGTACCGCAGACTGTTGGGGTCCACAAGACCTGTGAAGCAAGGGATGTGTCTGGCACTTGTCCAATACAAAGTTGGATCTCAACATGCTCTGCAAGCAGGGACAGGCAAACTTCAGACTGACAGGATATATTTTGTTTTTATACTGGATCCCAGAGAGCCTCTAGCTGGAGCAAGATGCAAGAGAGCAGCGGAATGGCAACATATTCTTAGAAATATGGAGCAAGGGGCCTCTGGGCATATGCTTAGCCCAGGCATTTGTGTTCAGTCCTGTCACATGAAAAGCCACTCCTGGTTTTCCGCTACAGCTGCTTTCTTTCAAAATTAGGGAGCTGAGAGGAGTCTTGCTTACCTACTGTAAATCACTACAAGGCTCTTGATAGATCCACTCTCCCCTGCTCTACAGCAGAGGTTCCCAAACTCCACTCCAGCCCCACCCCATGGACCACTTAAAAATCATTTAATGATTTTTCTGTCTGTTGCAGCAACTGTAATGTACATTGTATTTAACTGTATTACAATTAATAATATGAAGATTAAAGATTAATATGCACTACAACAAATGTGCCATCTCCCATGTTCAGCCACAAAGCCAGACATGTCACAGAACACCTGGATGAAGTTTGCAGACCAAGTGTGGTCCATAGACCATGGATTGAGATTGCCTGCTCTACAGTCTAGAGTCTGCACCTGACACAAAAGAAATACACAAAGGACACATAAAGTGTATGCAGAAAGGATCAAAGTGGACCAGATTTTATTGGATTGCAACTCCCCTCATCCCTAGCCAGGAACTATCCTAGCTGATGGGAATTGTAATACCTGTGCCAAACTCTGAAGAGTACCTAGGTAGAAAAGGCTGCTGCAGGCAACCTTGGGTTAACTAGAGGAAAAGTGCAAACTTCTAGAACAGCTTCCTAAGGGAGTCAGTTCATAGGGGACAGATTCCTTCCTTTTTGCAACATTTGAATAAGCTAAGAATTCACTTCTAGCATTTGCAGGAAAAGAGGAGCCCAAAATTCTAACTTGGGGCTCAGCAGTTGAGCCGACGTCACCTCAAGCAATCCATCCATACATTCAGCCGCCAGTCCCCCAAATGGCTTCACAGACGTTCCTCTTCTGAGGACTCTGCACTTGTTCGCGAGTGGCTGAAGCCGGGAGCGGACTCCGCTGAGAAGCGTAAGGCTCGAGTCGGGAGATGATCTGCCGACAGTCCAGCCCCGGGTTGCCCCCGAGAACAACCCGCCGCCGGGCAGCAGCTCCTCGCCCTGCTGTCTCCCCGGCAGCTGGCCTTCCCAGGTCGACTGCCGGCTCTCCCTCCTCGGCCAACCCGACTGCTGCTTTGAAAGCTCTCCCAGCCCGGGCATCTCGCCGGGTTGCGCACCTTTTTCTCCGCAGCCGCCCTTCTGGACGGCGATGACAGGCAGCTCCCTCCGACGGCCGGCCTGCTGGTTCTCGGCGCGCAGGTGGCACAGGCTCCGGTAGGTGCGCCCGTCGCTGCCGCACACGGCCAGCGGGGACTCGGCGCACCAGCAGGTGCCGCGCGCGCCGCCTCCGCCCGGCGGCCTCCGGCAGGCGAGTCCGCGGGCGCAGCGCCCGCCCGGGGCGCACGGCTGCCCTTCCCCGCCCGCGCACTCCCAGCAGCAGCCGCAGCGGTCGGGCCGCAGCTCCCCGCCGGCCGCCGAGCAGGCCAGCGCCGAGCGCCCGGGGCAGCGCTCCGGCTCGCACGTCGGCGGGCAGGGCGGCGACGGGGCGGCCGCCACGGCCAGCAGCGCCCCCAGCAGCCAGCGGAGCCGCGGAGCCGCCATGGCCAAGAAGGGGCCCACCTCTGCTCGACGGCCGCGCCGACGGCGCCTTATAGCCCGGGCGGGCGGGGAAAGGGAGGCCCTCGGGGCGCAATCGCAGGAGGGGGCGCGCACTGTCCAAAACAGAAAGCGAAATGCTGAATATATTCATTCATTCCAGGGTCAAGCACATCGTTTTAGAAAATGTGTAGATTTCTTAAATATGAGTGTAGGTTGTTTTGCACAGGGGGAAAAGTTACGCCTTAGTGTTGATTTTCCTGTCGACTCCACTCCTGATCACTTTCTCAAGGATGGAAACTGCAGGGCAAGAAAATAAGGTGCTATAGTGACGATTAGCAGAGTTTGTAGTCAAACTAGCCGCAATTAAGCACCTGGCACAGCAAAGGGCTTGGGCAAGACTGTCTAGATCAGACCTTCTTAAATTCTAGTCCACAGATGTTGTGTGGTCTGGAACCCTTTTTGAGGTGGCCCATGGAAAGGCCCTGATGCTTGGCCCTGCACTGGTAAGCCAGTGGAGGTCAAAGTGGCCTCAGGCAGGCGACTCTCTGGGCCCAGAATAAGTAGACTCTTCCCACCCCCCTAGCATTTTACCAGTTAAAACAGAGGTTCTCAAGGGTGTGGAGAGGATGGCAAGTTGGGCGGAAGATTCAAGGACAATCAAATCCTTGAACATTTCAGTGTGGTATGATATGGGGGGGGGCTATATCCCCTATTATCATATTATAAAGTAGTCGTGTACTGTGTTATAAATCAAGCACTGCTGGTTGTTGTTTCTTTTTGTTTCCCAATGTCTTATCAGTAAAAAGTTGAGTGTGGCGTGAGCAATTTTTTTCCTGAAAGTGTGGACCAGAGAAAAAAGTTTGAGAACCAACAAATTAAGGGTCCTTTTTCAGTGGCTTGGCTTGGGCCCTCACTTTCCACAATACAGCACACCTTTTTTTCATGTTGCCAGTGCTGAAGAAAATAAAATTGCTTTTAACTTTCTCAATATAAAGGCAAGATTTTGGTTTTTAAAATACAATTAATGTAGGTTTTTTTATTGGGGGGGGGGGGAGTTAATTAAAGGGCCTGCCATGATCAAGACCACCAGCAATTTTCAAGGATTCGGTGAAGGAGATACCCTTGAGATCATTTTACCTTAGGAGTGGGGAACCTCGGGCGTTGGGGCCAAATGTGGCCCTCCGGACTCTCCATCCCAGGCCGACCCCCTTTCCAGCCCTGGGAGTTCTTTTGGGCAGCTGGAAGGTGTCCTTGAACTGTGATGACCCCTCTTGCTTGTCTGGAGGATGGAGAGGTGACCTTTGTGTTCACTAAATGTGGCCTACTTTGCAGAGATGAAAGTCCCATCCTTTGTTCTACCTCCAAAGGTGGGATATTGATGTAGAACAAATAAGAGAACAACAGGAGGCATTCCATTGTTTTAAAACTGGATACCCCCCCCCCCGCTCCGACACACAATAGTGAATAGGGGAGGCACAAAGCATTGCTTTTCTGAACTGGTATTCAGACTGCAAGTTGCACTTCAGACTGAATTGTGCTCTTTTCTGAAATGTTGAATCAGGGTCCGAACCAAATACTGTGCTTGGTAAATAGCCCTCATGTAAACTACATACCCTGCACCCTCTTGGAGTGGTTACATAACCAGTTGTTGTCGCTGCTAAGTAGGAAAATACTAATTTATAATTTGCATGATTTAAAAAGTAATGACATCTTAAATTACTCCATACAGCCAGGGCAGGAAGAAAAACACATTAAAATGTTCGTTCTGTTTTATTAAAACAGTTATCCCCAATTACTTGTTTGGATCAAGCAATTGTACCATATAAATTTTGCTCAGAGAAAAAAAATTACCGATACTCTTTCTACAGGAGTGCAATTCACACCTGAGAGTTATTAGTGGGAGTCCCATAGCTAAATGTACAAACAGTTCCAAAACCTTTTTCTTAATAAAACAAGAAAACACAGTTTTGATGATGGATTGGTTTGTTTTTTCCTTGAACCCACTGGGTGGATGCTTGGCAAGGAGAGAAAAATTATTACAACTTCATCCATCTGTAGCCTAAATTAATACAAATAACTTGGATTTGCTTCAACAGGATCACATCCAAGCATTTTGGTTTAGGCAGATTCTGGACCAAGTGACAGTTCCACAGATGCAAAGCAAGCAGCACCATCATGTGATTTTAAACAGGTTTACTTGGCAGTCCTGTTGAATTCAATGGGCTTGCTCTCTCGTAAAAGTGGAGCCTAGGCCTGCAGCCTTATAGACAAGGGAAATTTCTCTCCTCTGGCTCAGCCAGACACAAGAAATTACTTTTCCACACAGTATGAAAAATAATAATAGATGAGGCCCACTGCCATAAGACTGGCTTAGGGGTTTTCAAAAGGAAACTGGGTAATCATGGTCTTGAGAGCTAAATGAAGTCTTCAAATACAGGAGCAGTTGGAGTTATCCATCACCTTTGTGAATCCTTCCTGGTAAGATTCCCAGAAGGATCTATCTGGCTGACCCTTTTAAGCTATAGGTGAGGCAGTTGAAAGTCAAGGGGTCCTTTGTGAAAAGGTCCCTCCGAAACAAGCTGCCCAAGTGAAAGGAGATGTTGAAGTCTTTGCGGATTCAAGCATTTCAGCAAGGCTTTCAAAGGAGAATGTTAGGGTGTGGATTGTCCTCATCATGGGTGTAGAGACACCACCTCCTATTAAGCACCTCTGCTCTGAGTCACATGCAGTAGAGCTTGCACAATAGATTCAAAACACTGAGGGGTTCAGAAACTTATTCAGGGACAGCCCCATGGAGGCCATGCTTTCCACAAAGTCACAAGCAGCCCTTTGTAAGGTTGTGTCAGAATGGATGAACCTAGCTGCCTCCTCCACAAGAGGTCCAGAGGGTGGCAATATGAGAACAGGCTTTTTCTGCAGTGGCTCCCCATTTGTGGGATGCTCTCCCCAGGGAGGTCTGCCTGGCACCTTCATTCTACACTTTCAGGCGCCAGGCAAAAACATTCCTCTCTAATCAGGCCTTTGGCTGACTGACATCTGATGCCCTTTTAAAATGTGTTGTGGAAGTGGGTGATTATTGGATTGTTTTTTGTTTTTATTCAGTATTTTGTGTTTTTATACTGTGATTTTATGTTGTGAACTGCTCTGAGACCTGCGGGTATAGGGTGGTATACAAATTGAATAAATAATAATATTAGAAAGTGTGGCTTAAGTGGAAAACTGCTCAGAACTGTGCTATCTAGGCATGGGAGAGGCAGGCTTTTGGAGAAGCCCCAGAAACTGTTGCCAACTCTTACTAATACAGAGCAATGCATTTCAAAGTTCCCTGCACAGCCAGTCAAGTGCATGGCATGTTAGAGCTCAGCTGCCTAAGATTAATGGCTGCCATTTCAATTTATTAACAGCAACATAGCTGCAATTTCTAGCCCCAATGTTCTTGCTTCACATTAAATCTATAGATTCAAGAAAAGGCAAGGGCAAGCTGTAACACGCTGATCCTGTCCTGATCAGGTTTACTCAGGAGGTTGCATTGACTTCAATGAGGCTTCCCTGAAGGTTGTGTGCTTAGGAGTGCAGAGCGAGGGCCACCAATCCTATGCAAACTTTGGTGGGGAGTGAGCCCTACTGAAGTTGTATTTCAAACTAAACACACAGAGGACTGAGTGTCCTGTGCTCAAGGCAGCCTTCCTCAACCTGGCACCCTCCAGGTGTTTTTGACCAAATCTCCCACCACCCCGACCATTGGCCATGCTGGTTGGGACTGGTGGGAGCCAGAGTCCAACAACACCTGGAGGGGGATTCTGGCTTCAGGGCTCTTCTCCCTGATGTTCCTGTCTAAGCATACCTACATGATAAGTAAAGTCCACTAAAAGAAACCAACAGGGTTTCAAATTAAGACTACAATGCTACACATACTTACTCTGTGGCATGCAGTGGAATTTGCTTCAGAGTAAAAATGCACAGAATCCCATGGCATGTGTGTTTCAAACACAATATAGGAAGCCTGTTGTATTTACACACATTTCACCTAGACCAAACAACTTTTTCTTTTAGCAAAGTTGTAGGGCAGATTGAAATGGAGCAGAGGAGGAAGTGGAGCACAATGCTTTGCAGCCACCTGACCTCTGCCTATTAAAAGCAGACAAGGATTTCCAGGAAATTATTGGCAAACTTGACAAGGTACTCACGTGTTTAAAGTACAAGTTAGTGCAAAGGAATACTTATTTTGAAAAACACAACAGAACGGTACTGGTCAAATGTACATTTTTGTAAGCAAACAAAAAGACAAATGGTCATCTGGTTCAATACTACTTCCATTCATTCAAATGAATTTTCATAGTTTCCAGCAAAGTCTACTTTTCCAGCATAAATCTCTTTTAATAATTATTTTGCATGTATTCACAAGGAAAAAGCAATGTGTAAGCCTCTTCTCTCCCTTTAAAAGAGCAGGGAGTTAAGGTGCACAATCCTGAAACATCTCCCATCTTGAGCCTTGGGCTACATTTCAACATTATTAATTTGATTAATTTATTCTTTTGGGATGGGGGTCCACAGCTCAGCAGCAGAGCACATGCAGTGCATGCAGAAAGGACCAGGGCTATGATGTGCATGCTGAGATCCTGGGGGGATGCAGAAAAAGTGCAGAACGTGGTATCAAGACGTGGTGCAATTCAGCTTCTTGAGAAATTCCACGTTTTAAATTTGGGGGCTGACAAGAGAAAAAGAGCAATATTTTGACAGCTACAAAGTGTGTTGGCAATGCCTGTGTTGGCAATGCCTGCTAAAGAGCAAAACATGGCTGCAGTCTTGGGCACACGTGCTTGGGGAGTAGGCCTCACTTAGTAGGACTTACTTCCAAGTAAGCAAGTAATACTTGAGCAAGTTTTCTTCTACTTCCTTGCTTTCCTTTAGCTCCCTTTGGACATTCCAAATAAATTGGCGTAGGGAGGGTCAAGCTATCCACAATATCTCCATCCCAACAGGGCACAGCTTCAGACCAGGCTGGCAGGGAGAGGACAGCCTAGGGCAGCCTTTGCCCACCTGTGGCCAGCCATTTGTTGCTGGACTAAAAACTTCTATCATCCCTGGCTATTGCCCATGCTGGATTGGTCTGATGGGGAGTTGCAGCCCAAGTATACCTGTCCCTACTTCAGACTGTCATGAATGGAATATGAAAATATAATGAGAATGCCTGGTGGCCAACATGCTTGCTGGCCTCCCCACACGCTGCTCAGGGGGTCGAAAGCAAAGCCTTTAAGCATCGCACAAAATGTCTTTAGACTTTTATGATGAGAAAAACCAGAATAAGTGATGCAGATAGTAAATAAATTATTAAAAAAATATGCAAACAGTATTCTTTTTTTGTGCAGTACACACACTTAATTCTCTGTATCCTTATTGCTTCATATATTAACCAGAATCTGTTCCAGGTTAATGTTGGCATTAAAAGGGGTGGGGGGAGTAATCTAGCTTGATACAAGTTATCACAGCCCACTCAAAAAACAAATAAATATATTTTTGTGCTCCTGAAAAACCTGCCATATAAAAAGGGAGCATACCTGAGTATATTCTGACCACAGACGTTCACACTGTTTGAGAGTAGTCTTCGCATAGTGAAATCCTGTTTGATTTTTCCTTGCTAGATTTGCGTTTTGCTTTGCTTTCTGTTTTAGTCAGGCACCCTGAACAATTTAGGGGGGGAAATGATCACAACCCCACCCCTTTGCAAAGGCAAACATTATTTAGATGACTACATAGATGACTACCTGGAAATATGGGAGAAGGAAACGTTTAAAGAGGAGCTAGTCCTCACTGTGAGGACAGACTTTCCTTCTGTCCTGGACATTCAGAGCTAAGAAGTTCACTTAATGCAGCTATGTCACATCCAAACCATACATGTAAAGCACTCCTTATACCACTGTAACCGTCATGGCACCCCTCCCCCCAGAGAATCCTGGGAACTGTCATTTCCTAAGGGGTCTTCTAATAACTCTCAGCACCCTTGGCCAACTATAGTTCCCAGATTATCTGGAGGAAGCTATTAAAGTGTTCCAAGAGGGCTGTAAATGCATGGTATGGCTGTGATAGCAACCAGATTGTTTGTGTGTGACAGTCCTCATTTAGGAAGCCAGAGCCAAGGGCTGAATTTTAGAACACTAATTCTGTTGCACTGACTTTTAACACATTCTGTCTGGCCCTTTCTCTGTATTTCTTCATACTCCAGGCAACACAAGGAAGGCTGTTAAAAAATCTTAGGAATTAAATCTCCTAGGCTGCAGCGCAGTTGCACAAATGCCATCTAGGGCAGGCCTCCTGTAGCAAGTGGGTCTTGCTAGTCTTGGGCCTGATAAGCATCAGTGAGGCATTCACAGAAGGTCAGCGGTTCGAATCCCTGCGGCGGGGTGAGCTCCCGTTGTTCGGTCCCAGCTCCTGCTCACCTAGCAGTTCAAAAGCACAGCAAAGTGCAAGTAGATAAATAGGTACCGCTCCGGTGGGAAGGTAAACGGTGTTTCCATGCGCTTAGTCATGCTGGCCACATGACCTGGAAAAACTGCAGACAAACGCCGGCTCCCTCGGCCAGTAAAGCGAGATAAGCGCCACAACCCCAGAGTCGTCCGCAACTGGACCAAACGGTCAGGGGTACCTTTACCTTTACCTATAGATGCATCAGAGTGCAAGGCAGGGTGGAGGAAAGAGTGGCGGCAAACATATTCTGCAGGCAATTGAAGTTCCTGGCCTTTCCAGGTAGGAGTAGAAAGATCTTGGCTGAAGTCCTGGAGATCCGCTGACAAATAATATAGACATCGTTGAATTAGATGAGCTAAGACTGTTGTGGCACAAGACAGCATCCTGGTTTTAGATGCAACTGAGTTTTTGGTTGTGCCAGTTCTGGAAAAGTTCTTTATGGATTTCCTGTTGTTGCTTTTTACTATTATTATAATGGTCTCAAACACCAGCTGAAAGCACACTGTGTAAATCCGCGGTGGGGAACCAGTGAACAGTCAGGTCTTGGTGAACTTCAACTCCCATCATCCTTGACCATTGACTGAATTGGCTGGGGCTGATGGGAGTTGGAATCCAACATCTACAGGGTCATAGGTTGCCTGTGCTGGTGTAAATATAGCTTTAGCCAGTTGAACACACTGCAGATCACCAGAATATCCCCATACCAGAGTTTGAAGAATCCCTGCCATAACCTTGCTTTATTTGCCCCCTGCCCCAACCTTCTGTGCAACTGCAGTTGATGCTGCTGTGTAGGAAAGGGCTATGGCTCAGTGCTGGATCAAATGCCTAGCATGCAGGAGGTCCCAGGTTCAACCCCTGGCATGTTGAGGTAGGGGTGAGAGAAATGCCCCTCTCTGAAATCCTGGATGGACAAGTTCTCTCAGGATAAGTCAGCTTCCTATGCTCCCTTCTGCAGGAAAAGCTCTCCAGGAACTCCACTTTGTTCCAACCCCTTGTACCTTGACAAAAAGAGTGTATGGCCTTCCCACATCAGCAGCATGGCTCACTGAAGATGAAGAGCATCTGTTACACACACAGGTTTCTGTGAGAGCTAGAGAGTTAGACATTCACATTGAAACTGACAGTCCAACACTTCCACAAGATTTCTTCAAAAGCCACAATTATAGAAGAACCCTCAAAGTCCTCTCCCACAGAAGTTAGGAGTGCTGCCTCCAACTCCTCTGCAGATCAAGCATGCAAGCCAGACCACCAGTGTGCTGCTACAAAAACAGTGGGGTGTACCTGGGCACATTGCCAGAAGAGGTCAAGATGACTCCAGTGAGTGACACACACACACACAGAGAGAGAGAGAGAGAGAGAGAGAGAGAGAGAGAGAGAGAACACCCATACCAGGTTTCTAGCTGATTGGCAAAGGTGGTCTCTCCTTTACCACATGGGAAGGCATCTGAGAAGGAACCACATCACACTGAAAATGTGCAAGGAATGACTCCAGGGCTGGAGGTTGCATCTCATGTGCTTCCCACATTTAAGGTCATCACATCACAGTGACTGCTCCAGCTCCAGCTTTCTAAGCATGTGCAAGCTAGCTAGCATTTGCCCCAACACATCCATGTGTCAGGACCAGGGAAGCGTCAACATGGTCTGTACATCGACAGGCGCTGCTTTGCAGTGCACAGTCACACATCCGAGGTCCGGATGCTCTCGTCATCCAGGTCAAAGGGAAATGGATGCTCTTTAAAGTTCTGGGGCTCCGACCTGTGCCGGAGACGCCCACCCTGCGTGGCTCTAGCATCTCGCTGGGCAAACAGAGGGGAGAACTCTGAGTCCTTTGGCAGGCCAGCCTTCTGCTCTGCTGCAGGCTGCGGCTTCCCTTCTGACTGTGGCACCGGCATCCAAGGCAGCCAGCACGAGGCCGACGGGCTTTTGGCAGAGGCCTTGGGCTCCCCTCCCAGATGCTTCAGCCTCTCAATGGGAGGCATGGCTGAGCTGGGGCCTCCGCGCTTGTTCACCGAAGCAGATCTCACCAAGTCCTGCATGGGGTAGAGGGGTGTGGGGGAGAGAGGGAGAGAGAAAAGAGCTTATGCAGCTTATGCATGCCAAAGGGGGTGCCAGCACAGTGCCCATGGGTGCAATGGTGCCCCTGAAGTCTTCCCAGGGACCGATGAAGCCCCTGTGCTCCCTTGGTCATGTGGAATGTGGTGGTTTCCTTTTTTCCCCTTGAAAGTGACACTGTTTCCTACTTCATCTCTATGTGCTTTTTATTTTTATTTTTTATTAAAATTTTCTTGATTTACAAAAGTGTTTGCAATGTCTCTCTCTTGTATCCCCCCCCCCACGTAACATTTTTACAAATCAGTTTCATTTGTTGAGACATTAGGAAGAAAAGGGGGAAAGAGGTGGGGGGGGAAAGATAGGTGGGGTTGGGTGGCAATGTTTCTATTTTACTTACTATATATAGGGTTTGGTGTCAGTGTTGCTTGTGCAGGTTCTTTGCTGTTCGCTTGTGTTCCTTTGGTGAGAGAGGTTGGGGTTGGCCTAGGGTGTGGTTATTTATTTGTGGTTGGCTGTGGTGGTCTTTGTTTTCATGTGTGAGTGGGGTGGGTGTTTTGGATCAGGTTAGCCAAATTGATTTGTATGCTGTTGGTGGATTTTTATCGTCGTCCTGTGGGGCTCTGTATGTGATAAAGGGGAGCCATACCGGGACGAAGGCGTCTTCTTCTATTTGTCCCCGTGTCAGTTTCAGTTTATTGATTAATTTTTCTAGTAGGGCTGTTTCCCATACTATCTGGTACCATTGGTCCATGCTTACTCCTGACAGGTCTCTCCAGTGTCTGGCTATGATGCTTCTGGCTGCTGAAAGTTGGTGGGTTATGAGTTCTTTGTGGTGTAAGTGGGCGTTATTGTCTTGGAAGATGTTTAGTAAGGCCAATTCTGGGGTGATTTCTAATACTTGCTTGATTGTTTTACTTATTTTTCGTATGGTTGTTGTCCAGAATGGTTGGATTTTGGGGCACTCCTGCCACATGTGGAGGCATGTGCCTGTGGAGGTGCACCCTCTCCAGCATTTTGGTGAGGTTCCTGGGCGTATTAGCACTAGTTTTCTTGGTGTTAGGTACCACCTGTAGGTGATTTTCAGAGTGAGTTATTTTCTTTTTGTTGATATGGATTTAAAGGGGGGTTTAGACCACATTTTGATCCACTGAGTGGGGTTAATCTCATAGCCTATGTCATCCTCCCAATCTCTATGTGCTTTTCAAGGTTCAGACTAATTCTACTGGATTCAACTTCCCCAATGACTAGTTGCTTAATATACATAATTTGTACAGGTTGAAGAATTCAACATTTCTTGGTGCAGAATATTAATATATTTCAGTGCAGAGCAAACTCATCCCAGGCCATAGTGAAGCTTTCCTGCAGTGAAATTGTTTTCCATATGGTCAGAATGCCTGGCAGACATTTGAGTCAACCTTCTTCAGATTGCCTTAAAAATGGATCTCATCTTGTACAGATGAATTCACATGAACCCTTCGCTGCTGGTGAGGGAGATGGGAAAGGGTTTTGGTTTTGGTCAAAAATATAACTTAAACCAGGGATGGGTAGATTTCCATCTTCCCTCTTTGCTTTTTCCAACAACCCTGAGGTCCACTGCTCAGAAGCCAAAGGGAAAATAGTAGCTTAGAAAGAGGGGTGGACATTGACTTAGAATTAAAGAAAAGAGCCCCTCCCAGTGCACATCATGAACTTGTTTTCAGTACCAGAACTGAGATCACAGCCCTTTCATATAAAAATCTAGTCCTGGTTCCCCACCACAACCCCTCAGCTTTCTTCATTTCAGCAACCTAATTTGGGAGGGAAATTGTTGCTATTGTTAAACAGTTGGGAGTCAGAAATCCCTGGCATCTCCAGGAAGGGCTGGGAGACACTCCCTGTCTGAAAGCCAGGAGAGCTGCTGCCAGTCAGTGTAGACCATCATGAGCTAGATGGATGAGTGGCTCTAACGAAGTATGAGACAAAAGCAAGCCTCAGCCAACTCCTACATGACAACCAACAACATACTGTACAAGAAGCAAAAGCTAAAGCAAAAGAGAAACCACAAAGACAGTAAGGATCTTGGACTTCCGGATTAGCGCAATCGGCGAATGGCGGAGTTCCTCCGACTGGAGGAACTGGCTCCGTGGAAATTGGGTCTTCCCGCCGCGGCGAAGGTGGGGGCCCGCTAGAAATCCCAGGCGGAGGAAGCCTGGGAACGTGGGGTTCGGCAGGGCACCAGGAGCGCCTCCCCTACTCACGGGGAACCCCATTTCGGGGGTCCAGAGTGAAGTGGGGTGAGCGGCGCGGTGCTGCGAACTGACTGCTACTTTCACGGAGTGAAGCCGCATAGCCATTGCCGGAGAGTGCTGACTTTTTCCTGTGGACAATTGGATTTAAAACAAGTACCCGTGAGTAGAAACAGAAAATTGGATCAAGAAATATCCTAATTTGGCACCGAAGCGGGAAGATTCAAAACAGGAAGTCCGCCTTCTGCTTTTTGTATATAGACTGAAGCAAAAACCTTGTAAGCTAAAGCCTGGAAAGTCATTTATAAAAGTCTAAATTTCCTTCATTTATAACCACTAAAACCCCCTTGGAAGCAGGAGAAAAGGGGGGGGGACTTTGTTTAAGCCTGCAGGAGGGAGAGGGAGTAAAGAAAGACAAGTTTCCACCGTCTCAAATCTGGGAACGGGGTGTCAGAGACAGAAATTGTTGGAGATGTTCATTGACTGTGAATGGAACACTTTGACAGATAGCTAAAAAAGAGAAATAAACTGACTCCAATGTTGCCTTTTGCATTCTAAAGAAACAAAATATCTGAAAAATTAAAGTAATTTTCCTTTGTTGGACTTGCCTTAAAAAGATGGATACAAATAGAAATTGTCTCCTCTAGAGGGAGCTTGTTAAATTGTTGCTGCAGTCTACTTGAGGACTAGACAGCTGTGAGATTAAGATTGGGGGACCAGTCCCTTTGACCTTGGACAAAATGTGCTGGGAGGAAGTTTTGGTGCTTGCTTTATGCAAGACAAGTGCTTTGTTGGAACAGATGCATGAGAAGATGGATTTGATGAATGAGAAAACGGATTTGATGACTGTTGTGGTCAATAACTGTGGACAAACAGGGAATACTGATACAGAAACCATTCAGGGACCAACTCAGGAACCTGTATTGATTGGGCAAGTGCAAGTGCAGAAGATAATGGAGGAGGTTGCGGTTGCACCTCAAATAATACAAATGGAGAGATCCGAGGCCCTGCAGGAGCATAAGCCGCTGTTTTTGAAGATTGAAGTTGGAGTGGGCCAGGGGGAGTCTGGAGCTGAGGAGGTTCTTAACTTCGGAGGGACTTTGAAATATGCTCTTAAATATTCTTTGGATTATATTGATGACTGTGGGGAGTGGGACTGTGGGGAATGGGCTGGTTTGATGAAGGGAGATGGAGATAACTTTGGGCTGGAACCTCCCAGAGACCTACTCTTCAATGAGAAAGGAAAGAAATTAAGAAAGAGACTAACAAAAGACAAGGAAAAGTGCTATAAACAACAACAAGAAGATCCGCAGAAGGGACATGGAAGAGACTTAAGAGCTTCGGACATAAGATTGCCAGGTTGATGGACTGGACGGAATGGACAGTAAGGACTGACATAACCCGAGACCAGGAAGAAGAGACGTTGGATGAAGATTGGAAGAAAGTTCTTAAAATTTTATTTTGAGAATTAGTGTAAAATTAATGAGTATTAGGAAAAATATTGGAATGAAACTATTTGGCTTTAATAGAAATGATATAAGGAGTTATGTATAAATAAGTATTAAGTTTTAAGTTTTAAGGTATTTTATGGTAAGATAAGGTTAAAATAAATTAAGGTAAATTGAATGACAGAATATAGTGAAAGATGGAAAGGATTTGCTGAGTTAATTAATAGGTTAAATTATTAAGATAAATTATTTAATAAAAATTGAGAAAGATGGAAAGAATTTGCTGAAATAACTAATTAAACTAGAACACGAAAAGGGAGGTGTGAGGAGGTCAATGAAACAAGCAAATGGAAGTTAAAGATATGCAATATGGGATTTGCGTTTTTTTTCCTTTTTGTTGTATTGGTTTTTACGTTTTGTTTTTTATTTTTCTTCTTCTTTTTTATGTATTGTAGTGTTGTTTTCTATTTTTTCTTTTTTTCTGTAATCCTGAAACTTTTAATAAATATTATTTTTTTAAAAAAACAAAAACAAAGACAGTAAGGATCTTTTTCCTCACAGAAGAAGGAAGCAGAGGCAGAACTGGAGAGCAGGATGGCTCCTCCCCCCGGAAGAGGAGGCAAAAGACTTGAAAGGCCCTGACTCTCAGGTGGGAAGAGTCAGCCTCCTCAATGCAGGTCCTCCAGTGCACTCCGGCTTCTCTGATCACAAGAGTCTCTACTTCTGCTTCTTCCCTCTGCAAAACAAGTTACTAGCCCTCATTGATTATGAAGGGCAAAATATTTGAAAGTGGTGCATCTAATAACGGAAACCAGAGGTGGACGAGGTAGAATATCTAGGACAGGGTGCAACAAGTGTGGCCACTGAGAAACAGGTTTTTTTTATTCTGTGCTTTGGATGGGCAGTGGTTATTCCCTGGTCCTTCCACCTGTGGTCTTGGCTAAAGTCTCCTTGCAGAGCCATCCCTCGAGGGGACTAAATAAAAGAAATGAGACTGAACTAAGTTATGCCAACTTGCAACTTGTTCCTATGTAAATAATAATAATCAGGTCCACAAAACTCGGGGCCACTAGGGGCGCATTGGAAGATGGCCGACAATAACATCTCTCCGACCCACACGAGGTAATTAAGAGGCTGTAATGGGAGTATGCAGCCTCCCTGCCCCCCCCCAAGGGAATGGGGGGGACTGCCCTTGCCTGCTGTGCCCATAAATCACCCCCGGATTCGAGGGGGTGAGGGCACTAGGCGGAACGCCCTTGTGTGGACTTCGGCTCTCCTGGACGCTGTCTCTGATCGCGCCACTAGCTGCAGCAACTTGAAAATAAACAATTAGGAAGAAGCAAATGCACATATTTCAAGTGAAGAATGGGGAGTAAAGACTGCTAATTGAAGGGACCTCTGTGAAAGAAGACGGGTCGGATAAACAGGAATATATCATGAGAAGACACATCAAGGCTCGGTATGTCGGCAGCAGGACTGGATGGGGGAGGGAAAAAAACTTTTCTTTCTTTCTTCTATGTGATTAACCAATAATTCCCCCCCCCCAAATCAGAAATGCCGATTAAATGACCTAAGCTGGATGATTTAAGACTGTGTGAAAATAAATTCTAACCAAAAGCATGTTTTAAGGAGATCGAGGAAAGTACAAGAGCTTTGGGATGACGCAGTAAAAAACAGTGTCACCATTTTGGCAAGTTCTGTCGAAAGATTTATGTCTGGAAGGAGGAATGGATCTGTTTTTATACTGCGGGCGAACCTCCTCAGAGGACTAAAGAAGGCGACAGATTTGTGAAGATTAATGATGGAAAGAGTGCTTTTATCTATGGAAGTGATGATATATGGAAACCATCTCAATATGGCTATTGGACGAACGGAAAAATTCACACAGGATTACAACTTGTTTTTACCTGCTTAAGGAGATTATCAGAAGAGGTCGCAAAGAGAAAGGAAAAATTATACAAAAATAACAAGATGAGATGTGGGAAACAGCAAGATAGGATTGGATAGAATTATGAACATTATTTGGACAGATTTGTGGACACTAATGCAGCAGCAAGATGATGATTGGACCCCCTTCTGAACTTGAAATATGGGTACCCCCAACAAAAATTTAAAAATTCGGCTTTGTAATTTGGAATTTATGTGATGTGATTTGATTTGATTTGATTGGTCGGTTAATAAAAAATTATTTATATAAAAAAAAATCAGGTCCACAAAACTGGACTGCATGGGATGGGGGTGGGTTATAAAGTTGCTCCAATTTCTAGCCCCCAATTTCTGCTTAATTTCTAAGCCACAGAATTATGATTAATATCTTTTTTTCCCCAAGGAAAAGTTAAGCAACTTTTGCCAAGTTGCTTGCAGCAGCTGTAGAGAGGCGGACAGATACATGTTCCCATTGCATAATGCTCATTAATTTCTCCGATCTCACCCGCTTTCCATTCCCGGTTTCTGTGGGATCAAGCCAGAGACTAGTAAGCTGCCTCCAGGAAGTGAGATATTTCTCAAATGTTTGCCCAAGACATTAAAATGGATGATGTCTGCTTAAGAAAACAAGCACAAAAAACTAATTAATTCTGCATGCAAAGGATATGACCTACCCTAGGGCAGCTCTTTAGGGCCTGCACAGCCCCACTGATCTCCTTGATCCAGCTGTGCATGTCCTCAGGGCTATAGGCCTGCAGAGAGAAAGAATAAAGACATCAGCCAAAAACAACACAGCCCACGAGACTCCCATCCCCAGAGCTGGATTATGCTGCACCATGACATTTCAGGCCAGGAAGAGGGTCTGTGGGTGAACTGACCTAGTGATTGACAAGTGGATAGCCTCATCCCCCAGTCAGAGCTGCCTTGTGGGGCCGGTACCCCACTCCTGCCCTAGCCAAGTGACTACCATGTTAAAGTTCCTTCCCATCGTGTTAAATGTGAAAAGAAGGGGTGAAAAGCTGAATGTTCACATCATGAAGAAGAGACAGCAAGACCTAATCAGATTAGACTCTAATAGGTTCTGTGTAAGTTCCATGTTGGACCAAGGACTGCTGGAGATAAGCGCTAGACAATGGTTGATCTGTTTTGAAAAATATAAGGGCCCCTCCAATAGACCTGCTTATTGAGCATTCAACTGGACTTGCTTGCAAGAAGCTTATGTGGCAGTTAGCCTGTTTCCAGTCTCTCTGGAGCAATCTTATTTGTTTGCAGGGCAGTGATATGACAATGAGCAATTGCCCCACATTCATTCTGATTTGCTTACAGCATGTTTACATTTCTTCCTGTTAGTCATTTGTTCATCCACACTTTTCAATGCATTTTCTCACCTCTCCCCAAACTACAAAATCAGTGTGTTTGTTTGGTTTTTAAGTGGGTTTGTTGCGCAGGGGTGACAAAGGCCTGTCTGCAAATGTAAATCCCTTCTGCAAAATAGAGAGTCTACACTACAGGCACGCAAAGTTCACCTGTTGCCATGCAAACTTCCACAAGGGGACAGAAGTGAGACTTCAGAAATACATTTCTTCAAAGCACACATACACATACATCCCCCAAAAGCAACAAATCCCCAGGCCCTTTTTTTTAAAAAAATAGGCTTTCTGAGAAAGGGAAGCAGTTGCCTTCCAGATGGGCAGCACAATCTGAGAATGACAGCTCAGCTACATGAGTAAGCCCCACTGAAGTCAACAGGATTTGCCCACACATAAATAACAGCTAGATCTCACCCCAAATATCAAGGGAAGGGAAAGTTCTTGTCACTGACTGCTGCTCATCACAGCAAGGGGTGAACAAACACGGAGTAGCAGGGGATGTTCTCATCCTGGCCTTGAAGAAAGACACTGGAGAAGCAGCGTGAGCTAGTGGTTATTTAATTATTTCATAAAATGTATACAACAGTTTACTGGGGGGACGACGACCTCAAAGCGGTCAGAGCAAGGGTTGCCAATGTGTCACCACGGGCAGCACAATGATACCCTTGCAATCTTCCCCTGGCACCCGCTAAGCCCCTGAGCCCCCACCTCCTGGCCTCTTGCCTACTTTCCCTTTCCCTGAAAAATACATAGAGCTGAAAGTGGAAGTTGGAAGAATGTCACTTCCCCCCATTTCAGCTCTATATAAGAACCTCAGAAGAGACTTCTGGATCAGGCCATTGGCCCACCTAGTCCACCATCCTGATCTCATAGTGGCCAACCAGACGCCTGTGGGAAACCTTCAAGCAGCACCTGAGTCGGAGAGCCCTGTCCCCTCCTGTGGTTTCCAGAAACATGATGGCCTCTCGCTGTGGAGGCGGAGCACAGACATTGTGGCGAGTTGCCCTGGATAGCCTTTTCCTCCATGCATTTGTCCAAGCCTCATTTAAAGCCCTGCAGTTGGTGGCCATCACTGCCTCCTGTGGCAGGGAGTTCCATAGTTTAACTCTTTCTTTTATCTGTCCTGAAACTTCCAACCTTCAGCTTCACTAGATGACCCTGAGCTATGAAGGAGGGAAAAATCTTTTTTCTATCCACTTTTTCCATGCATGCACATTTTATAGTCTTGCAAACGAACCAGTTCATGCATGAGATTCACCATGGAATCATAGAATCATAGAGTTGGAAGAGACCACAAGGGCCATCGAGTCCAACCCCCTGCCAAGCAGGAAACACCATCAGAGCACTCCTGACATATGGTTGTCAAGCCTCTGCTTAAAGACCTCCAAAGAAGGAGACTCCACCACACTCCTTGGCAGCAAATTCCACTGGCAAACAGCTCTTACTGTCAGGAAGTTCTTCCTAATGTTTAGGTGGAATCTTCTTTCTTGCAGTTTGGATCCATTGCTCCGTGTCCGCTTCTCTGGAGCAGCAGAAAACAACCTTTCTCCCTCCTCTATGTGACATCCTTTTATATATTTGAACATGGCTATCATATCACCCCTTAACCTCCTCTTCTCCAGGCTAAACATGCCCAGCTCCCTTAGCCGTTCCTCATAAGGCATTGTTTCCAGGCCTTTGACCATTTTGGTTGCCCTCCTCTGGACACGTTCCACTTTGTCAGTGTCCTTCTTGAACTGTGGTGCCCAGAACTGGACACAGTACTCCAGGTGAGGTCTGACCAGAGCAGAATATAATGGCACTATTACTTCCCTTGATCTAGATGCTATACTCCTATTGATGCAGCCCAGAATTGCATTGGCTTTTTTAGCTGCCGCGTCACACTGTTGGCTCATGTCAAGTTTGTGGTCAACCAAAACTCCTAGATCCTTTTCTCATGTACTGCTCTCAAGCCAGGTGTCACCCATCTTGTATTTGTGCCTCTCATTTTTTTTGCCCAAGTGCAATACTTTACATTTCTCCCTGTCAAAATTCATCTTGTTTGTTTTGGCCCAGTTCTCTAATCTGTCAAGGTTGTTTTGAAGTGTGATCCTGTCCTCTGGGGTGTTAGCCACCCCTCCCAGTTTGGTGTCATCTGCAAATTTGATCAGGATGCCCTTGAGTCCATCATCCAAGTCGTTGATAAAGATGTTGAATAAGACAGGGCCCAAGACAGAACCCTGTGGCACCCCACTAGTCACTCTTCTCCAGGATGAAGAGGAACCATTGATGAGCACCCTTTGGGTTCGGTCAGTCAGCCAGTTACAAATCCACTGAGTGGTAGCATAGTCAAGACCACATTTTACCAGCTTTTTTACAGGAATATCATGGGGCACCTTGTCAAATGCCTTGCTGAAATCAAGGTAGGCTACATCCACTGTGTTCCCTTCATCTACCAGGCTTGTAATTCTGTCAAAAAACGAGATCAGATTAGTCTAACATGACTTATTTTTCAGAAATCCATGCTGACTATTGGTGATCACAGCATTCCTTTCTAGGTGCTCACAGACTGTTTGCTTAATGATCTGCTCCAGAATCTTCCCTGGTATTGACTGGGCGGTAATTATTTGGGTCCTCTCTTTTCCCCTTTTTGAAAATAGGGACAACATTTGCCCTCCTCCAGTCTGCTGGGACTTCGCCTGTTCTCCAGGAATTCTCAAAGATGACTGCCACCGACACGATCATAGGTGGATGAATCACAGACAAATTACTACGTCCTTGTCTCAGCTCCTGAATTACCATTACCGAAACCTAGAAAATTTCCACCTCCTGCCTATCTTGGGAAACATCACGTGCCTATTTATGACCTTTAGGTCCTCAGCCCTCCCATCTCGACTCATGGAGATAAAGGATACTCTATGGTGGTTCCACTCTCTCCGTCCAGTGAGGGTATTCTGCTCTGGTCAGACCTCACCTGGAGTACTGTGTCCAGTTCTGGGCACCACAGTTCAAGAAGGACACTGACAAACTGGAACGTGTCCAGAGGAGGGCAACCAAAATGGTCAAAGGCCTGGAAACGATGCCTTATGAGGAACGGCTAAGGAAGCTGGGCATGTTTAGCCTGGAGAAGAGGAGGTTAAGGGGTGATATGGTAGCCATGTTCAAATATATCAAAGGATGTCACATAGAGGAGGGAGAAAGGTTGTTTTCTGCTGCTCCAGAGAAGCGGACACGGAGCAATGGATCCAAACTACAAGAAAGAAGATTCCACCTAAACATTAGGAAGAACTTCCTGACAGTAAGAGCTGTTTGACAGTGGAATTTGCTGCCAAGGAGTGTGGTGGAGTCTCCTTCTTTGGAGGTCTTTAAGCAGAGGCTTGACAACCATATGTCAGGAGTGCTCTGATGGTGTTTCCTGCTTGGCAGGGGGTTGGACTCGATGGCCCTTGTGGTCTCTTCCAACTCTATGATTCTATGATTCTATTTAAGGACGAAACAAGGAGGCAATTGGTTCCTTGCATAGAGCCAAAGCTAATGCGGACAACGGAAATCAAGCTTAATACTACTAACTGTCCGAAGGAAGAAAAGAATTCTGTAAGCCTAGAATTACAAGATCCGAAGAAGAGGTTATCGAATATAAGACTGAGTTTTCTACCCAAAATATAAGGACGGTAGAGCCTAGAGAACAATATTTAAAGACGTCCAACAGCTTCTTACCCCATAGAAAGACATCAGTGCAACTCCCTGTTCCCTTTTCAAGTGACATCGAAGTAGATGAGGAATTTGGCGCCTCTGACATTTTCTATGTCAACAACACCTAAAGAATTCTATGTTGCTGACAGTCTGGAGAAATCCAGCACCCAATCTATATCTGGACCTTTGCCTAATGTTCCAAAAACTTATGAGAATGATCGACCTCTATGGTACTCCTGGCAAGACAGGATGGACAGAGCTTCCGAATTCGAAGCTGGCTCTTTGTTGGCCAGCGATTCCCATTTTATAGCACATGCCTCATTAATACTCCCACAGCCACAGATAGAATCAACAGTCCTTCAATCAACCCAGGAGGGAGAGAGGGATTGACAGCTAACTAAACACTGTGGGACCGCCCTCCCCACTTGGGGTGAGGTTGGTTGGGTTTTATCTTCTAGGGATAATTACCCTATCGAACTTTCACCTCTTCCCCATACCATTCTGACCCAGGAGTCCTGGCCCAGGGATGACTTGTTAGTGAGGGGATCTTACCCCTCTATTGGGGAGGCTAGTATGGGGTCTGAGATTCCCACTATTGGAGGGCTAGGGAAGAATGGTGGTGGGGCTAGATATCACTATCGGCGAAGGGTTTTGAGATGCAGTGATGTTCAAACCCCTTCCAATCTACGCCCCATCCCAAGGGACGAGGGTAGGGCGAGCAGGGATTACCCACCTCCGTCATTGGTGTTGTGCAATGCCAGGTCAATAGGCAATAAAACCGCTACCATGCGTGACTTTTTTGTCTCTCAGGGGATTGACCTGGCTTGCGTGACGGAGACCTGGGTACGAGAAGGTGAAGTAGTCTCCCTACATGAGATAACACCTCCAGGTTTCTCTGTCCTCCATCAACTGTGTGTCAGAGGGGAGGAGTATCATTGTTAATCCGGGAGGATTGCTCTTTCAGGGCTCTGCCACCACCGGCGATCTCCGGCATTGAATGTGTTGGTCTTGTGGGGGCACCAGGGAGAGCTTGGCTGTCTGGCTGGTGTACCGACCACCCAGCGCACCAGCAGCCACCCTGTCAGACCTGCTGGAGGTGGCGGCGGGCTGGGTCTTGGAGTTCCCAAGCCTATTGGTTTTGGGAGACTTCAACGTCCATGCCGATGCCGCCCCCTCCTCACACGCTCTGGACCTAGTGACTTCCATGGCAACACTAGGGCTCTTCCAGTTTGTTTTGGGCCCCACTCATCAAGCAGGCCACACGTTGGATTTGATATTTGGTGCTGGCATAGATGTGATCATGCTCCCCGCTGTGGAAGTGCCATGGTCTGATCACTACGCTCTGAAAGCCAAGATTGACTTCACGCTCCTCCCCTGCTCGGGTGGCGAACCTATTTGGGCTCGCCCGCGAAGGCTGATGGATCCGGATAGATTCCGTCAGGCCTTGCGGGACCCTGCTCCTCCTGGCGACTCATTAGATGACCTTGTCGAGGACTGGAATAACCGGCTCTTGGCGGCCATCAATGAGATCGTGCCTAAGCGCCCTATGCGACCCCGTTGAAACTGGGCCCCTTGGTTTACTGAGGAGCTCCGGAAAATGAAGCGGGATCTCAGACGGCTAGAGCGAGTATGGCAACGGACTCATGACGGAGCTTCAAGAGCATCTTATAGGGCGCTTATGAAAGCCTATGAGATGGCTATGAAAGCTGCTAAGAAATCTTACTTCGCAGCTTCCATTGCATCCACTAGCTCTCGCCCGGCATAACTTTTTAGAATAATTAGGTCGATAACGTACTTAGGAGGACAACCAAATTTAAGCACAAATTCGACCCACAGCTGTGAGGCACTCGCGAGCTTTTTGCGGAGGACGTCCTGTTGCTCCACTGTGACCTCCCTGACAATTTAGATACAGTGACAGAACTGGAGGCCCCTCGATTGTCTTCGGGTCCAGTGTTGGACCATTTCGATCGGATACTCCCTGCTGATGTGCATAGACTCCTCCAAGCTGGTAGGCCCACCACATGCCTCCTCGATCCGTGCCCATCTTGGCTGATTAGGGCATGTCCAGATGTCGCATGGACCCCCCTGATTGAAATTATCAATTTGTCCCTTGGCACGGGGATATTCCCAGGGGATCTGAAGGAAGCAGTGGTGTGTCTGCTCTTAAAGAAAACTTCACTAGATCCTTTAGATCTATCCAATTACTGCCCAGTTTCAAATCTTCCATATCTGGGTAAGGTAATTGAGAGAGCGGTTGCTGAACAGCTTGGTAGGTTTCTGGAGGAAACATCGGCTTTAGGTCCATTTCAGTCCGGATTCTATCCTGGTTTTGGGACCGAGACGGCTCTGGTCGCCCTAACAGATGATCTCTGCAGACAACTGGATCGAGGCAGGTCGGGACTGCTGATTCTCTTAGATTTGTCAGCAGCTTTTGACATGGTCAATCATGATCTTCTGGACCACCGCCTCGCCAACGTGGGGATACAGGGCATAGCCCGTAAATAGCTGTGCTCTTTTATAGGGGACAGAGGGTGGCACTAGGGAGGGAGATGTCGTTGCGCCACTCCTTGGTGTGTGGAGTGCCGCAGGGTGCAATCCTCTCCCCGATGCTTTTTAACATCGTTATGCACCCCCTTGCCTAGATTGTCCGGAGCTTTGGGCAGCGTTGTCACCAATATGCTGATGACACTCAGCTCTATCTGCTGATGGATGGCCATACCGACTCGACCCCAGACACACTGACCAGATGTTTGGAAGCTGTGGCTGGATGGTTTTGTGGGAGCCGATTGAAACTAAGTCCTTCGAAGACAGAGGTCCTCTGGCTGGCTCGGGATGGTATGGGGATGAGGGACCAACTCCCTTCTTTTGCGGGGGCCCAATTAGTGTCATTGCCTTCCGTTAAGAGTTTGGGTGTAATCCTTGAAGCCTCCCTTTCCATGGAGGTGCAGGTTACAGCAACAGCCAAGGCAACATTTTCCTCCCTTCGCCGCATCAAGAAGTTGGTCCCTTACCTTTCCCGCCCCGACCTGGCCACAGTGATCCATGCGGCGGTCACCTCCAGTCTTGACTACTGTAATTCGCTCTACGTGGGGCTGCCCTTGAAGCTGTCCCAGAAACTCCAGCGGGTGCAGAATGCTGCAGCGAGGCTCCTCACGGGGTCTCTGCCATGGGAGCATATTCACCCAGTGCTTTTTCAGCTGTACTGGCTCCCGGTGGAGTACAGGGTCAGATTTAAGGTGCTGGTTTTGACCTTTAAAGCCCTTCGCGGCCTAGGACCCTCGTACCTATGGGACCGCCTCTCCCGGTATGCCCCACGGAGGACCTTAAGGTCCATAAATAGCAACACCCTAGAGGTCCCTGGCCCTAAGGAAGTCAGATTAGCCTCAACCAGAGGCAGGGCCTGGTGGAACGCTCTGTCTCATGAGACCAGGGCCCTGCGGGATCTGACTTCTTTCCGCAGGGCCTGTAAGGCAGAGTTGTTCCGCCTGGCCTTTGGCTTGGAGTCAATTTGATTCCCTCCCCCTCTTTCTTTTTTCCTTTCTCCTCCTGTGAAAAGGCTGCATCTTAATGTTTTAATGTTGTATTTTAATCTTGGTTTTTAAATTGTATTTTAATCAACTTGTTTTTATTATTGATTGTTAGCAGCCTTGAGCCTGGTCTTGGTTGGGGAGGGTACAAATTATTATTATTATTATTATTATTATTATTATTATTATTATTAGTTGCCTTCCAAGGCTCAGATTAACTCCACTAGCTCCAACTTCTGCCAATATCTCTGGGAAGAGTAAAGTGACCCAAGGGGGGCACCAAATGTGCCTTTAGGCAGATAAAGGTTGCCAATCAACCTTAAAAGGAAATCAAATTCACAGAGGATAAAGTTACAAATTGCTTTGAGTTGTGATGGCCATATGCCACAACATGCCAATGAATACTAGCCACTGGAGAACACAAGTGGAAGAGGGCTGCTGGTGGGCTTCCTTCCCATAAGCTACTTTAGGAAACAGGATGCCGAATGAGCATTGGCTTTGAGCTCTTCCTATGTTCATAGGGCGGCATACAGGATTCCCCGCTATTTTATCCTCACAAATCTGTGAGACAAGTTAGGCTGAAAGAGAGCATCAGCCCATCCAACATCATCCCATGAGCCTCTTGGTTGAGTGGGGCTTTGAGCCCAGGTCTCCTTGGCTAGTCTGACTCTCTTAGCACGACTCCACAGGTGCACATACAGGGAGCAGCCTGCCCAGCTTGAGGTATATGCTGGACTCTTGAGCACCCTGTGCAAAACCCCAACTCTGTCCACTTTCCTTGCTGCTGAAGGCTCTAAGCCAGGAAACAGGGAAGCTGTTGCCCTCTGGGTGTCATTGGACCACGAATCTCATAAGCCTTAGGCATTGTGGCCAAAGGGCAGAGATGGTGGGAGGGCCAGTTGTTCCCTATCTCTACTAGAAATGGCTGACCTGTGCAGTTCTCCAATGTACAGTTCTCCTATTCACGTCCATGGGGATTGCACAAAGTAGCTTTCAGGTGGATTGCGTATTTAGGAAGCTTCCTCCCCAACGGTGCGTAACACAGGAAACATAAATGGAGAAGTCTTCTTCAAAGAAGACCTAGACCAGCTCTACCACACACTGTACATGTGAACAATCCCCATCTTTATGGTTCTCTTTTGCACCTGCACAAATAACTTTCACTATAAATATGATGGAATGGAGAAGTGAAAAGCTGCAAAAGCAGGCTGCCCTTGGTATGGAGGGCCCCAGAGGCCAAAAAGAAACTGTGTATAAAGTCTCAGCTCACTCAACCCTTTCTGCTTGAAAGGTTGTCAGCAAAGCATCCTGTTTGGCAGGGCAAGACCAGAGTTAACTGTTAAGGGCTAAATTTACTGTAGAGAAAAATAAACTTAAAAACAAACACAGTCCTCCCAACTGGGAACCAATTCTGAAATTGCATAATGTGTGCTGATCACTTGAGGACCAGTATACACTGATGTAGGGACACGGGTGGTGCTGTGGGTTAAACCACAGAACCTAGGACTTGCCGATCAGAAGGTCGGTGGTTCGAATCCCCGTGACAGGGTGAGCTCCCGTTGCTTGGTCCCTGCTCCTGCCAACCTAGCAGTTCGAAAGCACGTCAAAGTGCAAGTAGATAAATAGGTACCGCTCCGGCGGGAAGGTAAATGGCGTTTCTGTGCGCTGCTCTGGTTCGCCAGAAGCGGCTTAATCATGCTGGCCACATGACCCGGAAGCTGTACACCAGCTCCCTCGGCCAATAAAGCGACCCAGAGTCGGTCACAACTGGACCTAATGGTCAGGGGTCCCTTTACCTTTACACACTGATGTATATTTATCACTATAGAAATATTCTGGTTAGATAGTAGGCATGGATGGAATTGCCAATTTTGGCTTCTCTCAAGTTTCTCATTTCCACATTGGTTTGTGGTATTTTTTAACCAGTCATGAAAATTCATCAGCGTTTTAGTGCAAATTTATTCTAATATACACATTTATGTATGGAATTTCATTGAGTCAGTCTATCTATCTATATCTATCTATCTATCTATCTATCTATCTATCTATCTATCTATCGTATATATTCGTAACACAGACTTTCCAAATATGTATGTTATTTGTTGTATGTTATTTCCCCCAATACATGTATCTTTACGCAGAGGCAGTTTTAGGGGAGCGTGACCAGTACAGTACTGGGTGCTACATTGCAGGGACAACACAACAATGCTCTAGAACAGAGTGCAAGAGGTAGGGGGGGCACTAAATTTTAGCACTGAACAGGGTGCTGCTGAAATTTGAGAGCCTAAAGTCCGCCACTGCTTTATGCACACTTTACTGTATTATATGCATTTTCCTACATGCTACTTGGCTGGAGAACTGCAATGCAAAATTTGAAGAAGTGTAAATTTTGAAGAATGCCTGTGTTTCAGTTCTCATACTGTTTTAGAAAAATGTAAATTTGCTAGGTTTACTTTTAAACATTAACTGAATCGCATTTCTCCCCCATCTCTACACAGAGGAGTCTTCTGAGGACTATGACTCGTCAAATGCAGCCCAGAGATATTCTGGGGGGTGTTCTGGGGTGCAGCTAGACCCTGGTGTGATGGACAGACCATTGGGTCATCCTCCTGGAGGCTCTTCGCCAATCACAGCAGGGAGGAGAAACGGGCCAGAGGGTAAAGAGAGAAGCTGGCATTCTAACTGGCAGGGCCTGGTCCAGGGAAGTAGCTAAGGGTGTGTGGGGCAGAATTAACTGCTTTAATTTCCTCATGTGGAGCGAAGAGGGCTAGAGATGTTTTACAGGCAGAGTAAAAGCAGATAGCCATTCTAGGAAGAAATAGACTTAATAGAAGCAGTTCTGTTGTGGAGGTAAGAGTTCTTGTTTAAACCTGAAACAGTATTTCTGACAGAAAATAAGTATTATGCCTTTAACAGCAAAGCCGTCAAGGTTTATCCTTCATGCTGTGTTTATTAAAAGATCAATTCCATTGTGCCGCAACTTCAAGGATAAAGTTGTCACAGGAGCCTCTATAGCTGCAGATTTACATTATATGCTACCACATAAAGTTAAAACATGAATTATCGGTTGTTATAGACAGGGAGAGACCAAAGCTAAAAAACCCTAGACTTGGTCGTGTTTCCCCTTTCCCATTTGCTACATCTGTCGGTGCCTGAACAGCAGTCGGCCACATGTCAGCCAGGCTCTTTGGGCTGCTGGTACCGTATTTTTCGCTCCATAAGACGCACCTTTTCCCTCCTAAAAAGTAAGGGAAAATGTGTGTGCGTCTTATGGTGCGAATGCAGGGGGGAGGCAGGCAGGAAAAGCCCCCAAGAGCCGCACACAAGCTCCGCACGGCTCTTGTGGGCTTTTCCCCAGGAGGGAGAAGGGACTGATGCGGCCAGTCAGTCCCTTCTCCCTCCTCATAGAAAAGCCCGCAGGAGCCGCGCACCCTTTAAAGAGCACGCCCCAAGGAGAAAAGCCCCCAGGAGCTGCACACTCCTTAAAGGGTGCTGCTTTAGCCGCGTGCAGCCTCTCCGGCCGGGAGAGGCTGCACACGGCTAAAGCAGCCAGGACAGCGAGCAGAACCATCCCGCTGGTTGTCTTGGCTTCTGCCATAGCTGCGCACAGCTTCTCCCGGCCGGAGAGGCTGTGCGCAGCTAAAGCAGCCAGGGGGATGGTTCCGCTTGCTGTCTTGGCTTCTGCCATAGCCACGCACAGCCTCTCCCGGAAGCCAGAGGAAGCCAGGACAGTGAGCGGGATCCTGCTGGCTTTGCTCTTTGGGGCTGGGGGGGAAACCCGGGCTTCCCCCAGCAGCCCCGAGAAGCTCTGGGAGAAGCGGACAGGTTGCGCGCAGCCTGTCCGCTGCTCTTTGGGGCTGGGGAAATAATATTTTTTCTTGATTTCCCCCTCTAAAAACTAGGTGCGCCTTATGGTAAGGTGCATCTTATGGAGTGAAAAATTCTTAAGTCTCCCTGAAGAGGAAGTCAGAGAAAGCTGAGGAGATTCCAGAGCTCCTGGCCATCTTCCCCCATCCCAGCTTTATGCCAGCATTCTCCAACCTGGTGCCCTGCAGATGGTTTTGGACTGCAACTCCCATCAGGCCCAGTCAATGCAGCCATCTGACCTGGAAGAAGGCAAAGGAGTCTTAAAGGGTCCCTGATGCCAGACTTCGTAAAGGATTTTCTCTCCAAGAAACCCCTAGGATGCTTCCCCAAAACTGCCCTACCTGCCAAGTCTCCACTGGTCAGTAAGGAGGGTATTTTACCTGGACATAGAAGGTCCTGTAGCTCGTTGTGATTTCAAAGAGATTGTCCCGCATTAGAAGATCACTAGAAAACACAGAAGGAAAAGCCGACCTGTTGACACCACACTTTTCTTCTTTACGTGAGTTATTTTACAAAAGTGTTGCAGTATTCCTTTGGCAAGACATTAAATGGCTAATGCACCATGTCATGAGACAAAGGTTCTTAAGAGCAGGAGCAGTAAGGCAAGGACTACAAGGCCTACACAATCATTCATTAACTGCTAACTGTTAACAGCAAACTGCTGAATCATTATGACTCATCTACAGGATGACTCATTCTCTCTATAGATTTGCATCCTGTTTGCAGGCAGGCCCAGTGTAGTGCCTGTGCCTGTGTGTCTTGTTGCAGACAGAGTGGCTCCAGGACTCCGGTTAATCAGTGACTATGACTGTGTCTCTGTGAAGAGTCAGATAGCTGCTATGAGCACTCTGTGTATGCTCTTTATCTATGCTGTTTCTGAACAAGTTTATTTTCTTAAGTAAAAGTTTTATTCGGTTTATGAAGAAGATTCTGTGTTGATTAATTTACCGCTGCGCAACACACCATGTAATAGGAATACACACATGCACACACATGCCAGCAAAAAACAACAGTTCTCCCACACTATTAAGTTATCTTCTGGAACACAAAATAAACCTGCAACCACCAGTGAGAGAACAGCTGCTTTGCCTGCAGAAATTCCAAGTTTCCCTTCCCAGCATGACCTACCCGGACCCTGAGATCATCTTCTGAGCCTCTTCATCATGTGCCTCCTCCAGAAGAGGTCTGGAGGGCGGCAACACAAGAACAGGCCTTTTCTGCAGTGGCTCCCATTTGTGGAATGCTCTTATACATCTTTAGGCACCAGTCAAAAACGACATTTAAATGTATTGGGGGGTTATTGGTTTGTTTTTTGTTCTTATTTTTATAATGTATCTTATGTTTTTATATTGTAATTTTATTTTGTGAACTGTATACAAATTTGAAGAAGAAGAAGATGGAATGAGAGAGACTTGGTTTAGGTCCATGGTCTGTGAGAGAGGGTTTAAACTTCTATTCCCCTCTGAATCAAATCACTCCCCCCACTTTAAGCCTTAACTATTCCATGATGAGGCACCTGACTAGACAAGCTGAAGTTTCATTTGTGTCGGGCAAGAGAGGAACTGCAAAGGGATGACAGAGCTCTTCCTACCAATCTTAGCAGCGATCCTTTCTTTTTAAAGTCCCATATTTACAGGGTATATACCGCTTTTCATCCCTGTGCAATTGCCAAGTAATTGGGGCTGCCGCTATCTCTATCTCTCCAGTAAGGTGCTGGGGCCCCCAAAACCTTGGGTCTCACTGGTCCTCACAGACAGAACCTGCAGAAGTTGGCTCCAAGTGCCAATGCCAAATATAAAACCCAGCTGGAAACAAAAGCCATACCCGGATTTCACTAGACATTCATGAGTCTTCAGCACATCCTTCAGGAGGATTGATCGCAACGGCTCTTTGTCCTGAGGAGACAAGCAAAACAGATGCCAGGTAGTTGAACTGTCAGCAATGAGAGCAGAAAATCTAGGCAAGAGCAGTTAATGGAGCCATTGAGTTGGCAGATGAGCTTCTGGGGAGCTGGTGGCAAGAGTAACAAGGTTACAACTTTTGAGCATTTTAGTAGGAAAAAAGTTAAGTTATGGGGCTTGTGTATACATGATAGAACTGTACAAAGCTGTACAAAGAGGCAACAGAAGCTTTTCTAGACCTTGGGCTAGAAGCCAAGTATTGGAAGATTCAGGATAGACAAAAGGAAAAACTCCTTTGCACAGCGCTGAGTTGAACGAAGGAATTCACTACCACAAGATGTAGTGATAGTTGCCCAACTGGATGTCTTGAAAAGGAGGTTCGAAACATTTACCGAGTGTAAGGCTTCTCCATGGTGGCTAGTCATGACTTGGCTGCATGCAACCCCCAGGAATAGTTACTGGGAGCACAGTTTGTAAAGCATGGCTGTGCTTATGTCCTGCCTGCTTGCATCTGGCTGCCCATAGTGAGAAAAGGATCTTAGCTGGATGTACCTTTAGCCTGAAACAGCAGCATTCCTCTTTGGTGCTTATGACCATAAAGCAACTTCCCTTTTAGTCACCTTAATCTTCAATTGTCCAAACCTGACTCCCTCACAGCAGTCACACAGCATGGGTGGAGAATGAGATCCAGTTTGCCGACCAGACCCTTCTCTCTCCCACCCACCCTCCTTGGGCTCTTTGGCAGGTGGCCCAGCCGCTGAGGTCACAGTGTCATCAGGGGAACTGCTCTGGCCCGCGCCATTTCTAAACAAACTGTGTGCAGAGCTTTGCAGGCACCTCTGGTCAGATGACGGGCAGCACAAACCCACTTTCAGCCCAGTTGCAGCTTTACTACACCTGCACCTGATGCCACCATGCACAGGAGTTGTGGCCGGCAGTTTCCCACCACAGACATAGCAGATTCACATCAGCCTCCCTTTTTTGCTTAATGGAAAACAGGCATTTGTCCTGAAGGAACTGGGGCCCCTTGCACCAGTCACGAGAGCAGCCAAGAGCAAATGGCAATTCTCAAAAGGCACAGCAGCCTGGCTTCCCTCAGGGGTCACCACTCTGGCTCCTGCAGCAGCCGGAACACAATGCCTGCAAAGCTTTTCAATGATGCACTCTGACTCTAAGCTTTTTAAAAAAATTAAACTTAAAAATCAAGTCTCTATCCCAGGGGTTGTCAACTTGGTCCCTACCGCCCACTAGTGGGCATTTCAGGATTCTAGGTGGGTGGTAGGGGGTTCTATGGCACAAGCTGAATCCTTCTTCCATCGAGCACTGGTGGGCAGTAAGAAAATTTTACCATCAAGAAAGATGCATTAGTGGGTGGTAGGTATAAAAAGGTTGACTACCCCTGCTCTAGCCCTTCTAGAAAGAAAGTTACAGAGCAAAATGTGCAGTTACGTTTTAAGCAATTTCTGAAAAATGAAGGCGAATGTGGAGTAGCCAACCAGTACATTCTTCTTAGTAGGAACGTTCCCTGTTGCTGTCTTTAGGAGGAAGGGCAGGATGCCAAGGGTGGCTGTTTCTCTAGTTTTGCGCTGTGCCATGTTCCTTGTGGCAGCCCATTTGTGTGGTGCACCTGCCCCATCACAGCCATTTTGTGACTGGCACCCGAAGCACTCTCTCAAAATGCAAAATGTGCCCACTGGTCCAAAAAGGTTGGTGCCCTCGGCTTACCTGCTCACACTTGAAGTAACTGATGGAAAAGTCATCCAGGGTGAAATACCGCCGTTTCCAGCTCTTCCTCTAAAAGACAGAAACAACCGCTTTTGGATGCTGATATATTCTATCAAAGTCTTCCACAGCTGTCCCAAACACTCCACATCACAAGAGCCTGTGATCTTGCTCTCTGCACCATACAGACTTAACCTGTGTGATTTGCTGCCACCAGGTTAGATAGCTTTTCAAAACAACGTACAAGAATGGATAGTTTCGGGATGGGATTCCTCACCCACAGGCATAATAACAAAGTAGAGCCCTTGTGTACAGAGGCTCTGAATGGTCAGTGTTGGGGACAAGCAGAGGACAGCATGGGAACCAGACCCTTGGCCTGACCCCTATCGGGACTGGGGGAATCCCTGCAGATGTTGTTGGACTACAACTCTGAGCATTCCTGACTGGGGCTGATGGGAATTGGAGGCCAGCGTATCCACTCAAAAGGGTCTCTCACAGGTCCGGCCCTACCATTAGACAGGATGTGGCAGCTGTCCCAGGTGGAATGTTTTTGTCTTGAAATGACAGAAAACTGGTAGCTATTTTAAATTTACTATTGATGTATTTTTACTGCCAGATGAGGAGGGGAGGTGCTTATGAAATGTGCTGTCTCAGGTGCCAAGATAACTTAGGTACCATGACTATAACTTGAGGGGGTGGGGTGGGGGCTACAGATAGGTGAATTTCTCAGTTTCACTTTCTCTCAGTCTTCAGTTCAGTTCTCCACATTACCTCATGAGTTTGTAAAATGCATTTTTAAAAGTCCTCATAAAGATTTATCAGCATTTTAGTGCAAATCTCTCCTAATATACACTGTTTTTATTTAACTTTGCCAAATATACACTTTCACATTTCCCCCCACTAACGTATGTGCATTTCTCTGCACACCTTACCTGAGTATATGCATTTTTGTGCACACTGCCTGGCTAGAGAGTGTCATTGCAAAACTCAGAGAATTTCAAAATTTCAAAAGAAACACTGTGTTTTGGTATGCAATATTTCAGATAGTGCAAATTAAGTGGGCTCAGCGTCAGATGTGAACCAAAACGGATTTCTTCCCCATCCCTAGAGACCTGACACTGTTTGCTACTCCATCTCAGGCAGCAAAATGCTGTGGGGCTACCTGGAATTCTCTCCAGGAGTCACCACAACCACCTTCATGTTCAGTCCCCCCCCCCCCGCCCCGAGCCTCACTGGACGATTTCATCACCCACAACGGAAGCACCAGGTTTTAAAACCCAGCACCACTTCATCACCAAGGCCGGCAAGGGCAGAGACCTACCACATTCCCTTGCTTGACACAGTAGCCGCTCTTGAGGACAGGTGGCCCAGGTGGCGTTTTGGTACTGGGGATGTAACTCTGGGACCGTTTCAGAAGAGGATGCACTGCTGGCTCGCCGCTTTCGGAGCCATCCCCTCCATTCTACGAGAGAAGGGGAGCAGGGAGAAATCACACACACCAAGAATCAGGCTGCCACTGAGGCTGGACAGGAAAGGAACACTGGTCATCTGTTTTGCCAAAGTCCCATAACTGCCACACAAGACCCCAAGAGTCAAACTATATACAACACTTGTATGCAATTCGTCATTAGTAAACTGCAGGCATAGGGGCCTTGGTCAGGATTGGGACCGTGGTTTGTGGGGGCAGGAGGTTAATAGGTGCCTTACTCCTTACCTACTATAAATGAGAGCTCCCTCTTCCCCACAATTCAAATAGCAGCCGATTCCTACTTCAGCATAGGAACTTTGTACCAAGCCAGATGACTGGTCTATTTAATCTGGTACTGTCTACACTGATGGGCAGCAGCTCTCTGGGGTTGCAGACAGGGGTCTATCCCAGTCCTACTTGGGGCAGAGCAGATGGCCTAACTGAGCTCTTTCCTGAAATAGGTGGAAGCAGGAAGCAAAGGGATAAAGCCTGCTACTCCTAACTCCAGGGTCCCAGTTTGCATCAGTCTGCAAAATCCACTCATGTAATGGCACCACTGCTTCCTGAATAAATGGCATCTGGCCCAGTTTGCCCCTTCTTTATGGTCATTTATGTGGATAAAATTAATTGAGAGCCAAGCCAAGGCGGTGCAGAAGGGAGCGCTGGGAGCAGTTTGCACTCCATCGGACAAGGGCTTCTGACTCCCAGATTATTAACAATACCAACAACTGAAAGATTTTCCTCTTCCAAATTAGGCTGCTGAATCAAACCAAGTTTAGGTGGAAACCAGGAGCTGATTTTTGTGCAGAAGGACTGATACTGAAAAACAAATTGCTGGGTGTGCATGTGCTCAGAGACTCCCTGCTGCTTTCAAGTGAGCACGCCCCACCCGCACCACTATTTTGAACATGGGTCTGGTGGGTGGACCTGTGGAGTTTGTAGATCCTGCAAGCCTGATGTCTGCCACCACTACCCCCAGCGCAGTGGTGAGATTGCTGGCCTTGGGGACAAGGAAGCGGAGTCCCCAATCCATGCACAACCACAATGCTCCCTGGGTGACTCAGAGCCAGGCATTCTCGGTCAGCCTAACTCAGACATGAGAATGGTATGAGACCTTGGACTGAGTGACGTCAATTGGGATTATATCAAGGCCTGTAATTCTGTATCGAGGAGATTTCAAAACTAGCATTAGAGGCCGCTGAGCCAGTCAGATCCGTTCCTTTGTAAGATAGTGTCCTCAGCTGACCAGCTAATTGCCACCATTTACAGGTCCAGAGAGGCTGCCCTGTTGCCTTAGAGACAAATGGGTGCAACCTTCCTCTCCCACCTCACCCAACTGGAAGCAACACCACCTTGTAAGGTAGAAGAGCAATAGCTTGTGCTTTGTGCGTGAGCTTTGGCCAGTGCTGGAAGCTGGCAGCACAGAGGCTCGTCTTGCTCCATGCTGGACCCAAAGCTCATGGTTCGGAGATCTCCCTGGGAACCGAAATGGGAGGCAAGCTCTTTGGCAGTGCTAATGCTGTGAGCCCTTCCATCTTATGGTCAGGTTGTAAACAAAACCATAAATCCTAAGGATACCACAGTCTCCGTTGATCTTCATTCCAAGGAAACCAAACCCTGCAAAAGCACTGGAACCCCTGAAGTCTTTCGCTGTTTGGAGACTGGGTGCATGCAACAATAGGATGGGATACAAAGTGATACCCAGCATTTTCCTAGCTTAATAAATTGCCTATGCCTGTGCGCCCTCTCTGGGCATGAAAGGGAATGCAAGTGTGTAACTCCAGCTCCCAGTGGTGGCAGAACAAAGCTCCTGGAATGACTGGGCCTTGTATGAATAATCCAGTCATTTGCCTTTTCCTGGGGACAGGGATGGACACAGCATCCAGTTGTTAAAATAAAACTTTTAAAATTTATTTTTTAAAAAACAACAACACAAAATTTGGATTAAATTTTAAAATAATAATTAATAATTGCACAAAAAAAATCATCTTTAAATGATGTATTCTCTCCCAAAAATCAATTTTTTGAAAAGATCTAATATAAATTTTTTTTATTGTAACTTTATAACAAGAATTGCAGGAAGACTCAAATTAGAATATGTATTCTCTCTCAAACATTTCTAAACATTACTTTTATCTTAAAACAAACATTTTTATAAGCAGTTTGGAGTTTTGTGTGTGAGGCTATAATTGCATTGCAAAATTTTGAGGAGTGTGAAATCCAGATATGCATTATTGTGTGCATATTAGTCTGGAATTACAGATCAGATTAGTTTGAGTGGAATTTGCAAACAAATAAATTCCTCTAGCATCCCAACCTGGTGAATAAAGCGGTCCTTTCCAAATAAAGCCACTGGTCCTGGAAACCATCAGGGCAAGGTCTGCTTGTAATTTCCCAGAGACCTGGCCCAATCTTGTTATCGTGTACTGGCTAAAATTGGGATTCTGGGGTCCCTTTCAGGACAACACCACTTAAGGATGCCACAAAGCACAAAACCGACCTGAGAAAACAGCTTCCTTGCCACATGGAGTGGGAGGGAAAGGAAGGGAAGGGAAGGGAAGGGAAGAGAAAGAGAGAAGTGGTGTGTGACATGGGAAATGAATTTTTTCACCCACAATTAACAGAAATGCGGAAAAATAAGCCAGTGACAAAACACTAGGCTTTCACAAGCTCCCCTTGGCTAAAGAGAGAGTGAATAAAGCAAACTGTTCTTCTGATGCAGCTTTGACTTCTACAGAATGGGAGCCAAAGGCTTCGCTCTTCAAAGAAGAAAGTGGGCTTTTGCTGGCTGCATAAATTTCATGGGTGAGTGCCTGCTTATTGCTTCTGAATAAATGCAGTCCCCAAAGGAAAAATGGGGCAGACACTGGGCGCCATTGTGTGGCACATTTTAGGTAGCCAACGTGCTCCACTGGGGCACCAGGCTCCCCTGGCCTGAAGGGCCCACAACAAAGCACCCCTCCCCAGTGTCTGTGCCATGTTGGGGAAGAGCTAGGAGTGGGATTGTGGAGTGGGATTCTCCACAATCCCACTCAAGCTGGCCAGACCTTGACAGCAGCGCAGAGCATTGGACATGGGGAGGAGGAAACATCTGTTTACAACAATACAAAGCAACAGCAGCAGTTAATAAAACAGTTTCCATCCTAAAACTAAAAGCCGGGGGAAATAAAAGGTCTCTCTCTGTCACCGGAAGGACAGCAAAGCAGGCAACAGGCATGCTTTTTTGAAGAGCATGTGGTAGGAATTATTTTTGAATGCTCCCTTGTGTAAAACATTCCCCACAAGTGGAAATCTAGCAGTGGGCTGGAAGCTCTCTCATGGATGTGGTGGTTTTATTGTTGTTATTATTTTCTTGGAAGTGATTACCTTAGGGTGACAGTGGCCATGCCGCATGGGCCTGTTTCCTTGCCTGTTTCCTACTTCTTCCCACAGCTCAGAGAGGGAAGAAGTAGAATTGCACTATGTTTGAAAAGCTAGATGCTCAACTCATTTGGCTCTGCTGAGAAGCCAGCTCCATCAGGCTTTTCCTCTGTCCTTCTCAGCTGCCGCCTTGCTGCAGCCATTCCACCAGGCTGCAGAAGAGGAAGAGCTTGAAAGCTGGGCTCCTGTCAGCTCAGCTAAGAAGCCCGTTCTATCGAGGCTTCTTCCATCAAAGGTCACCTGGCAGCACCTATTCCATCAGGCTTCAGCATGGGCATGAGAAGAAGCAACTCAGCTCAGCGACATTTGGCTCCTCCACTTCATTCCATCGGGACATGACAAAGAACTAGGGCCTGAGTTTGATTTCCACCTCACAGTCTCACAGTTCCTCTTCCTTTTTGTGTCCTGTCTTTTAGATTGTGGGCCTGAGGGCAGGGACTGTCTTATATACTCATCTTTTAAAAGTGACCTGGGACTGAAGAGAGGGGTAAAAACACTTTCAATAAACTAAGAAATGCTTTAAAAAATGGCATCTCCCTGCAGTCTAAAGTGGCACTGTCTTCAATAGGAGTATAGTATCTAGATCAAGGGAAGTAATAGTGCCACTGTATTCTGCTCTGGTCAGACCTCACCTGGAGTACTGTGTCCAGTTCTGGGCACCACAGTTCAAGAAGGAAACTGACAAACTGGAACGTGTCCAGAGGAGGGCAACCAAAATGGTCAAAGGCCTGGAAACGATGCCTTATGAGGAACGGCTAAGGGAGCTGGGCATGTTTAGCCTGGAGAAGAGGAGGTTAAGGGGTGATATGATAGCCATGTTCAAATATATAAAAGGATGTCACATAGAGGAGGGAGAAAGGTTGTTTTCTGCTGCTCCAGAGAAGCGGACACGGAGCAATGGATCCAAACTACAAGAAAGAAGATTCCACCTAAACATTAGGAAGAACTTCCTGACAGTAAGAGCTGTTCGACAGTGGAATTTGCTGCCAAGGAGTGTGGTGGAGTCTCCTTCTTTGGAGGTCTTTAAGCAGAGGCTTGACAACCATATGTCAGGAGTGCTCTGATGGTGTTTCCTGCTTGGCAGGGGGTTGGACTCGATGGCCCTTGTGGTCTCTTCCAACTCTATGATTCTATGATTCTCTACCATCTCATTCTACTTTTGTGCAAAGCAGTCACAGGTCAGCAATTAAACTGGCTCTGCTAATTGGACACAGAAACTATGGATACCTGCTGTTTGTTCTCAGCAGAATGGAGCAGAGCATCTAGAGGTTGAGTGAGTGTGTGATATGCACAGCCAAGCCATTTAATTAAACATGTGGGGCCAAGCCTTAATTAAGGGAGACATGCAACTGGCAACAGCTGTAATGAAAAGCTGGAAAGACTTCCTCTTGTAGTTCAAGTACTCTGTACCTATTGGGTTGGTTGGCACTGTTTCTTTCATGCCCTATCCTGCCCTGTCCTGAGGGATCAGGGTGGATAGCAGCCCGAGAACCACAGGCCAGCAAAGCCAGTAATTAGGATACTGGGATATAGAACCAGAAGTCAATCTACATGTTCAGCAAAAGTACACAGGATAGTCCTTCCTGGCACTGAACCACTTGTTTGAATGCTAAGATGGCCAGGTAAAAGATAGACACAGAGAGAAAGGACACAGAATCTGCATCTTCAACAACTGCATAGATGATCCCTACAGTGTGTGTAATTTTGTATTGCGCTTTAATTGTACTATAATAATAATAATTTAATAATTTATTATTTATACCCCACCCATCTGGCTGGGTTACTGCATTTGCTATTGCAAGGGTCGGCAACCTTTTGGGACCTATGGGAACGTTTGCAAACTGTTGTGTGCACCACAGGTGTGCTGCAACTCTTGGCTACTGTAAAGACGGCTTCTGTTGGCTAAAGAAGGCTTCTTTTGAGCCTAATTTCAGCTGGGGGATGTGACTCTCTGGCGCCAGGGAAGGTCTCTGCAAGATGCACATGCCTGTGCCTCCAGGAGTGGCCCCCAGGTAACCCCGGTTTCACTGTATCAATACACAGTTCATGACTAGGAGCCCACTGAGCCAAAAAGCAGCATATAAGTAAACCACAATAGGAGAAGAATAGAACAGCGTATTTGAGGAGATGTGTAGCTTGTCATGCAAACTACACCTGCTAAAATTCCATCTTCTCCACAACTAGTAAAGGTGAAGGCATTCTGCACCTGCCCAGTAGGCATGGGGGGGGGGATGGAAAACTAGGGGGAACAGGAAGGAAAAGTGCTTTCTAGAGAAAGACCTGGCTGCTGGCTTCCTGGAGAGAAGCACTCTGCATGGCAACATTATTTGGCAGGTACCACTGTGTTCTTTTTGCTTCCTAGCCACATTTCAAGTCATGGCTCAAAGGAAAACGCTCCTGCTCCTCCAGTCTCTTCCCTAACCTTCTGAATCCTGCATCACAGGATGAGCAGCTTCCTCTTAAAAAAAGGCACACACTGCTAAAAAGAGGAGGGTGGCACACTTTTCTCTGGCAAGTTAATGAGGCATGACAGGCCATTTGGCAAGGAGGCAAAGCAGCTGCTACGCCCCAGATTTTGTGATGCCCAAGGGTTGGGCAGGGTGGTATTATTGCTGGGATGTCTCATTTTCATCTTAGTTTTGCTTATGCCTAAGTACCAGCAGGCGGTGGGGAAGCTGCAGCCCTGCAGATGCTGCGAGACTCCAGCTCCCATCAGTCGCATCCGCCAGCACCATCCATCACCTGGAACTTGCCAGAAACACCTGGCTGACCACTTTGGGAAATAAGATGATGCACTGGGAGGCTCTTTGCACTTATTTTACTGGGCTTTGTTTAGGTCCTCATGGCAGCCGTAGCTAACCTTTGGCCCTCCAGTTGTTGCTGAACTCCAAGTCCCATCATCCCTGACTGCTGGCTGATGGGAGTTGGAAGGGGCAACATCTGAAGGACCACAGCTTCCCCACTCTTGAGTCAGATCAGGACTCACTGCCATGCTGTTCACTTTATCACCCTTCACTGCTACTACAAGAGATTGTTGTGCTTTTTTGGCATGCATCCCAGCTAACCGGGTCATTGCCTGAATTTTTGCATTGCATTGCCCTCACTGCTTACATTTCCACCCAAAGCAATGTGCACATTGTTGCACGCAAGCCCCAATCTCTGAGTGGTGAGAGACTCCAGGGGTGCTTCCCCAGGGTTCAGTTTCTTTAGAATGCAAGTCAGCACAGACTGTGGTGTCTTTTAGGACGTATTGTTTTGTGTACACATGCACGCAATGCAAGCACAGGATGGAAGGGATTGCAGCATCACCACTCCAACAGATCTTGCTTCCCCATTAGCCCCAAGCCCAGCACGGAACAAGACATGTCTATGTGTCTCCAGCTTCCAGCACTGGCCCCCGCCCCATGCACAGTGCCCCCTTTACCTATTGCTCTCCATCCTGGGTGAGGCAACCATTTGTCTCTAGGGCAACCTCTGCAGACTCATAAATCATAATAATTTTATATTATTATTATTAATCACAGTATTAACTGGTTAACTATTAACTAAGGGACTGGTTGGGTCAGTGTCCTCTTATCGATTCTACCCCACATAAACAGGACTACAACTTTGGGATGTAGGGTATCATCCTGACTGACCCCCCCAACTCATAATAGAATTATCTGCACCTGAAGTCAAAGAAGACTCCAGTCCATTGAAGCATATGCCAGAATAAATGTGTTAAAATTTAAAGTGACACAAGACTTACTTTTGCCACAAGACTGACTAATGCAGTGTCAGGGACGTGACTGAATCGAACGCCTGGGAAGAGTCAAACTCTGAAGATGAAAGAATGCAGACAGAGCAGGAGTGGGTTAGCTTGCCCCCCCCCTTCACCAAGAGTTTCCAGACTCCGATAGAGCAGCAGACTCGGAGAGCTCGCAGGCAGAGGGAGGGGAAGAGATAGACGGCATTGAGGAGGTTGCTATGCAACCAGGTGAGAAACAGCGTTCAGAAGGCTCTTCTTTTAAGAGCGGGGTGGGTGGGGGTGGAATTCCACTCACCTTCTCCCCGAACCAGAAGAGCTGAATGGGTTAAAATGCAACAGAAGTGCAAGAGAGGAAGGACTGGACTCTGGTGCCCTTCGTGCTGTGACAGGGGCGGAGACTCAGAGTGACCAACTTGCATCCAAGTGCGGCAGGCTGGGAGCCACGCTCTGGATGTAATTTATAAATAAACGTACCATAAAACTGCCAGAGACTTGTTAATTCTTATCAGGGCTTGCTTGCCTGCCTGAGATCATTACATGCAACTACCCTTCTGGAAACAAAACCATGGCTCCATGGAATCTTTGATCAGGGTCAAGGGACCAACCCATTATTAGAAGGACTCATGCCTACGTATTATATGTTCACCAGGCCTCCACAAGCCCTGTCTGGGCCCAAGTTTGCTTATTTTCTCCTTCCCTCCTCATACCTTTTTCCTTTTGTGCTATGTATTTAGATTGTAAGGCTGCAGGCACAGGCTGTGTGCTTTTAAACTGGTCTTATGTAAGCCACTCTGGGGGCCTTTTTGGCTGCAGAGTGGGGTAGAAATGCTGTAAAAAAATGCTGTAAACTTCTCCATCTCCATCCCTTCTCCAAAGCAACAGATTTGGCTGACCAGCCATTCCCTTCTCACCTGGTTGACTGAGATTGGCGTCTGCACAACCACCCCACCAATGATCTCAGTCCTGTAGGGACGCTTGACAACTTCTGCAGTTGGAGGGAAACTTTCACCCTTTGGAACCTAAGAGAGAGAAAAGGACAAGTTATGTCTCGTGCCCAAAACCAAACAACTGCCTTCTCAAAATCTGCCAGGCTCTCGCTACAAGAGACAGCATCCTTCTAAATCCCTCCAAATGTACCCTTTTTTGAAGTGCTTTTATCAATTGCTAGAGTGACACCTGAGAATGTATATGAAATTCCATTCAGCAAGGATTTCATAGAATCATAGAGTTGAAAAAGACCATGAGGGTCATCTAGTCCAGCCCCCTGCAATGCTGGAATCTTTTGCTCAATGTGGGACTCAAACCCATGACCCTGAGATTAAGAGTCTCATGCTCTATCCAAGACCAGCAAAGAGTCCAGCTGATTTGTAGAATTCCTGCAGTACTCCACTTTGAAATAGGGAGGCATACTGGAAATAATGGGCTGCATTTATTTGCATGATATACCTGTACTAAAGAAAAAAGTTGTGCTTTAAGATCAAATTATTTTGCTCGAATATTTTTTGACAGATGGACTAGTTGGATTTGAATGACACAAGAGCCCCCACCCCAGCACAAAATCTGATTTATGGAATCTTGCATATGTGTTGCACATTCTTGATAGTATTTTTAAATTGTACATTTTTAAAGACCCAGAACTCTTTAATGGGATCTATATATCATCTTTCCAGCACTAGCAAAGATGTCTTTGTACTTCAGCCCTGGTCCAACTTTTCATACCACAGCCTTGTCACACAGGCAGTGGGGAGCGAGGTCAAAATTTTATGCTCCCTCCAGTCCCCACACTGGCTGGCTGGGCTTTGGAAAGGTGTTGTGAGGCTCTAACAGGGTCCTAGAGCCCTCCCAACTCTTTCCCAAAGCTGGGAATGCACAAACTAGCATTTGGGAAGGAGGAAGGAGGACTCTCGGACCCTGTCAGAGCCTCACGCCTCCTTCCCAAAGTGCCTTGCTTTCACTTCTGCTTGACCCACACTTTCTAGGCATGGGTCCTAGTGGTTTTCCCCTTCCCTGGCTCCTTTCCTAGTGCTATTTTTCTAGCAAAAGAGGTGCTAGAACTCACCATGAGCACCTCCTTCTTTCTCGTAGAATGGCACCTGACAGGGCCAGAAATGAGTTCCGGTGAGTTCCCCCTGAAAAAAAGCCACAGGAAAACCTACCCTTTTGCTTTAAATTGGGGCAAATGTCAATCTGGAGAAAACCTGATTGACGTTTACTCTGAGTGCTAAAGATTGGGTTTCCCTGGGGGAAAGTGGTGGGAAGTCTGGATGAGCCCCAAGTCTTGTTTAATTGCACCACCTTCAATAGGCTTCACTATGCCTAATTCTAAAATGCATTGAAGTAACCGTTATATAAATTAATAATAAAATTCCCTTGTATTAAATTAGACAGAACTGCCCATGATTTCTACAGCCATTCTTCTTAAATTAGTATCTTACTCTGTTTCCAACATTGAGCTCACACCAAGCTTGCTACAACTTCCATATTTTTATATGGAGCCACTCATGTATCTATTTTCTGAACTTTCTACAATCTGGTAGCAAATGCTGGGAGGATTCACTTTCCAACCTTCCATCAAAGAGGTGAAGGTACTTTGTGGGCTGGGCAGGTAAAACTGGCTTTTACTAGGCTAACACCTACGTGACCCAGATCTCCGCCTCAGCTGGTCCGGTACATAACATTCCAGAACTGATCTCAAACAGCCAATACGTGGAAGGAATTTCAGAGGCTGTCTGCATGCAAGTTCCCCATAAGATGGTTAAAAGGGCTCTGCTGGAACAAAGGCAAGCTTCCATCTAATCCCACACACTCTTTTCCCCATGGTGGCCAACCAGACACATCACAGCATGAAGGCAACATCACAGCAGAAGGCTTCTTCTGCTTCTCAGCAAAGCCACTAGTTTAGGCTCATCAATGGCTCATTTCATCAGATTTTGACCTTCCTGGAGCTATATGCTGCTGGGGGTTGGGGCTGGGGCCAGTAGAGGGAAAGGACAGGGCTGGAAGTGGCTGGAGAGCACTGTTGATTTCTGTCAACTTCTTCCCCTGTCCCCTACCTGCCCACTGCCACTTGCACGAAATTAGAGTGAGGGTCTCACGTGGCCCTCAGGCCATAGAGTAATGCAGGGATGGGCAAAGAGCAATTACCTTCACCCTGCACTTGGTGTGGGAAGAAGCTATTGGCAATTTTGACCCTAGCAAATGCCTGTCAGGGTCTTATTCCCACATGGGCGACCTTCCAGGGCCCACATGGTGACAAAAGTCAGAGGTTTCTACACACATTTCCCTCTCCTGGCATTATCACACTTCAAGGACACATTTGAGCAGTCAAAGGCCTTTGAGGAAGGGATGAGCAGGCCAGAGAGAAGCCTAACTGGCCACGTTTGGCTCCCAGGCCTGAGGCTGCTCTCCTCTGGTGTTTTAATGATACACATATGTTATGTACTGAATTGAATAGGATCCAAAACGCAGCAGTCTGATTGGTCCTAGAACAATAGGATTCAGAATGCAGCAGTCTGATTGGTCCGCAGGAGCCACCCAATCCAGCTCCAGGTAGAAGTGAATCCGCAACCTGATTGGCCTGCAGGAGAATCCCAGAATTAGCCAATCACGTGGGACCCATTATGTAAATAATTTATATAAAGCAGACATTCTGGGGGAACTTCCATTCCTCCTCATCACTATGAGCTGAATAAAGAGCATGAAATCCACTCTTGACTCCGAGTTATTTCACCATATTTGCAAACACAACTTTGCCCCCACTTGGTGCTCACATTTAATACATCTTAGATGTATGCCTAACCATAACACAGCGTGCAAAGGAAGTCCCTGTTGCCTAGATTTAGGAATCTAAAAAGGCTTCCTTTCATATTCATTTCTCAGTTCTTAAGATAATAATCCATGTTCCAAAACAGCAACCAGTTTTCGAGAGTCAAGTTTGGCCAGCTGAAGGGGAAGTAGCCAGCCCTCATGGACAGGGAAACAGGAAACAAGCATGTAATAGGAGCACATCTTCCTGTTTCAGAAGCAGCACAGCGATTTTACAGGGTGAGTGGATATGGGGAATTTAGTCAAGTTGCTGTCAAGTCATCCCTGTATTTAAGGCACCAGTGGCCAACCATTCTGGCAAGTGGGGCATAAGCCATGCCCACAGAGCTCTACCAAAAAACACTTCCTGCCCCTTCTCCTTGCAGGGTGGCGGAGTTGACAGGAGACCTCTATCGCCCTCACAGAGCGGCAGTTCTCAGCATTCCCTGTGAAGAGGGATTGGTCCCTAAACCACTGTGGGCATTGTTGCTCTTTGAGGGGTATAAGGGTCCCCTAACAACCCTCAGCACCTTTAACAAACTTCAGACGCCAGGATTCCTTGGGGAAGCCATGACTGCTTAAACAGCTATGATACTGCTTTAAATGTATAGTGCAATTGGGACCCAAGATAGGGGGGGGGGACACCTTGATTTTCTTTGCCTTTCAATGGGAAGCCACCTAATTTGCATGTCTTGAACCAATATGCAAACCTCATACTACTCTAAATTACTCCAACCAACCAGTGAGTACAAAATGTATCATATTAGGGGAAAGTGTGCAAAAACCCCCCCACAAAACCAACCCACCCTATTTTAGTGTAAACAACATGCAAAAATGAATTTTATTATGGGAAATTACTTTCAAAGATGTGTGTGTGAGTCAAAATTGCACACAACAATATGTTTAATAGGAAAAATTCACATAAAAATGCTGATGGATTTTCAAGAGTGGTTTTTTTAAAAAGACACACAAATTGCTTCAAAAATGTGGAGGCCTGATTCTAAGACAAGAAAAATGAGACACCGAAACTGATCGACTTGTCCTTTGCTACACAGCCCATGTGCATCTCCCCAATGCTCTTAGAAGATGCCTCTAGGCCTCCAAACGCAACCAATGGCAGAGAGTAACTGCTATATGGCACACAAGCTGCCTTTCAGGAAAACTTTCCGTCCCTATTGATCAGTGGGGAGCCACTGGCCCGTCTCCAAGGAAGCTGGACAAAAAAACCACAGGCTTAGATCCCTGCAGCTGCAGCTTGGCAACAGGTCTAATGTAAGCTATGCAGGAGGAGAGTCAAAAGGCAGCAGGCAGGAGGCATTTGATCTTCCAACCGCAGGTGTTGGTAGTGATACAAGATGCACCACACACACTTCCCCAATGCCAGAGCCATCAACACACCGAGCATGGCATCCTCAACCCAAGGTTCCATATGATGTGGCAAACACCTGCCATCATGGAGAGAAGGAAACATCCCTCTAAGCTGGCCCCTAAAGCAAGGGGCTTCCTAGGTTCGGCTAGAGAAGTTTCGGGTTCCATATACATGTCACCACTAAAGCAAAAGAGAGTGTCTTCCCCCTCCATCAGGGAGTTAAATTTACACAATACACCGCTTCCAGGTGATCACACCAAAAATGTGGGTAGTTCTTTTATAGGTTGTTGTTGTTTTTAGAACAACTCTTACAAAAGAAATGGGAAACCAGTGGCCCTCCAGAGATGGTTAGACTCCAACTGCCATCAACTCGAGCCAGCATGGTCAATGGTCAGGGCATGATGGGAGTTGTAGTCCAACAACATTTGGAGGACCCCAGGTTCCCTATCTTTGCTAACTAGGAACAAATGTTTGCTTTTCTCATGTCATGAATTACAGGGCCAAGCTTGTTCAAATTCTGTAAACAACAACAACAACAAATTAGATGTATATGCTGCCTTTCATCCAAAGATCACAGTTTATAGTATAAATCAATGTATGCACCATGGAAAAGAGGGTATATTAACAGCAGCCCATTTTTTCATGGCATATAGAACACATGTAGATGGGTAAAATGCCCTGGGGAGAATTATCACATGCCAGGGTATCTCAGATTGGTTTGGCATTGGTCTGGCAAGTGGTAAGGACAACTTTTACTACATGTTGGGCACAGCTGGGGGGGGGGCAGGTTGGGGAAGGCTACTCTAATGTCTAACCCCTCTTTCTTCTTACTGGACTCCTGTTCCTGTTTTCTGCTAGGTGAGTGAGAATGGCAATTAAACCAACTCAAGTTCTTCAGAACCTGCAAATTCACCCCACCTATCAGAATTACTCTGAATAAATTCTAAATCCATGCAATTTGTAAAATTGCTCAGCCTTGCTGGTCTGCAGGTGCCCAATTGCAGTTGCTTTTTCAATTCTCCTGAAGTAACTTTAACTAGAATAAATGGCTGGGGAAGCGTAACAAAGTGCTGTGGGTGCCCCCCTCCCTGCCTGTGGTAGTACAGGACTTTTCAGGCTATAAAATACTGACAGCTTATAGGGCCTTTTTCCTATTTGTGTCCCGGGTGTTCTATCTATTTTGCATTTCCTGGGGTGAGTTGTTAAGGAAAAAGTGGAGGAGGAACCTGTTTGTTATTACTTCTTACTTTACTATTTAAAGACTTTCTACACTGCCTTTTTACATTGGGCACTTCCAGATAATCAGTGTTTTCAGATGGGATTCAGTCATATACCAGCAAAAATTGGTTCAACAATTATGAGTGGGAGGTCTTGTACAACAAACCCACTTCCTCAAAGGCCACATTTTTTGCAATAAGGTAAATGACAGCAAAGTAAAGTGTGGAATAACATTTGCTTTGATGCAATGTTGTTTAACTTCCCCATAAGCAAATCAGAATGAATGCTCATTTAATAGGTAACATTGTCTGATCTACCTGCAAACTAATCAGGATGAATAAAAGAATAATGGGGGGGGGGAGAGAAAGATAAGACATACTCCCTGTAGGAGAGTACAGACCCCTCTCCTTCCCCTTCCCCCAAGTTAATGAACTCCACCTGTTCAATTATGTTTTAGGATTTTGGCCAAGATGCCCACATAATTCAGCTGAAAGGAAAGGAAAGAAATCCCTACATTCCAACCAGATTAAAGCCTGAGTAAAAGGAAACCAACATGACCCCTTCTTTCCACTGAACACCAAAAAGATACCCAAAGCACTGGGCAAACCTACCGTGATCTTGCTGGCCCGATTTAGTGCCTCCACCCAGTCCTGCAGGTCCTTTTGGTCATTGGCTTGCAAAACATAGCGCTGAGACAATGCATTAATAACTGTGGACACAGAGATCAGTGTCAGTGTTTGGCATAGCACATTTCTCCCCCACCCCAAATTCTGGAAATTGTAGTTAAGGCTATTGGTAAATTTAGCTCTATGAAGAGTAAACAACGGTTCCCAGGATTCTTTGGGAGATGCCATATGCTTCAATCGTATAGGCTGGATTTGACATTGAGGCTCACCTGAACAGCTCTCTCCACCCCCCCCCCCTTTCAGATGGAGAAAACAATTCTGTTCTGGAAGGCATTTGCCCTCACAGAATCCAATCTGATCTAGTTGCTGGTCTTAGCACTTAGATTTAAATGGGTGTCTACATTAGGGAATCTAAAACCAAATGTCACTCTAAAGTTCTTGGCTTTGGTTTTTATGGCTGGGTTTCAAACCTAGCAGTTCGAAAGGACGTCAAAGTGCAAGTAGATAAATAGGTACCGCTCCAGTGGGAAGGTAAACGGCATTTCCTCTGGTTCGCCAGAAGCGGCTTAGTCATGCTGGGCACATGACCCAGAATCTGTACGCCGGCTCCCTCGACCAGTAAAGCAAGATGAGCGCCGCAACCCCAGAGTCGTCCGTGACTGGACCTAATGGTCAGGGTCCCTTTACCTCCCTTTACCTTTATAAATTCTGCAAGTGGGACCTGTAACAAAATGCCACACTGTATGCTCCCCTTCTAACAGGAGATCTCTTGTTCAGGGTTCTGGCCAGCCGGCCAGACCCACTCTCCTCCAAGGTAGTATAAATGGGGAATCTGTACCCCTTGAAGTAATGTTGTGGACTACAATCTCACCAGACCCACTCAGCCAGCATGGCCAATGGCCAGAGATTATGGGTCCCTACAATTGGCAGCTGAGGCCTTGTTGGTGGTGCCACCTCTGGGGGCTGCCTGGTTTGCACTGACCTATGATGAGGCCTTTTCAATGGTGGGTCCCTGTTTGTCTGCCTTCCTTAATACTGACATTCAGGAAGCATCTACAAACATTCTTGCTTAGGCAGGCATTTGATGGCTGTTCCTGGCAAAACCAAAATCACTGGCTAAGAGAATGCTTTTAACTGTTTTTAGAATGGTTTTAATTGTGTTTAGTACTGATGTGCTTGCCTCCTTTGGGAGGAATGCCAGGCTCTAAGTGAAATCATCATCATCATCCAACAACATCTGAAGGGTCACAAATTTCCTACTTTTCTGTTAGGGTCCCAAACAGACCAATGCCTCCTCCTCCTGACCCCTCGTTTTCTGTTTTATTTTTCCAAATGACACTCAATATTCTGTGGTTTTGGAGAATACTCCATTCTCATTGGGTTGTTTTGGAATTTTAGAAGGGGTGGGATCTGTTTGTTTGTTTGTTTTGGTACTTCTGCCAGCTTCAGGATTCTCTGAGGCAGGCCAATACCATCCTCTGTATTCTGGGTGGTCTCATTTTCTCTCCATTTCCTTTGGGACCAGAGTTTGCTATTAGGGGGAGTAAGATTGATATTTCATTGAATATATTTTTATTGTTCACAACTGTGATAACTGCATTAAAAAAGCAAAATAAAAAATATGTTGTGCTGGGGAAGGTCGATGGGAAGTTGAAATGCAAGAAAACTTTTTTTTAGAGCAAATATTACTCACTGCTTGTACACAACCACATTTTGGATGGGGGTTCGGTTATAAAGACCATCATGCATTTTGCAGATGGGCAGAAGGAGTGCAGCATATGGTTCACAGAATTCAGCTCTCTAAACATCTCTGTTTTAAAGTCAGATATTAGCTCCTTAAACATCTTCTGGCTTCTATGGTTGCAAGGGTTTGCATGGACAAAATCCTCTCAAAAACCAGAGGGATAGCCAAGTCAGTTTCCCGAGGGTTGAAAATGTGGCTGAGAAAGGAGGGAATCAAATTCACAGAATAAGCTTGTGGTGGGGTGGGAGGAATCTGAATCCACTTCAAAGGTGCATTAAGGCACTCCTTGAAATATAAACTATGGTCTGAAGCATCCTTCACTAACCTGGTGCCTTCCAGATGTTTTGGACTACAACTCCCATCAGCCTCAGCCAGCACATGCCAGCTGGGACTGATGGGGGTTGTGTTACAACACATCTGGAGGGCAGCAGGTTGACAACAGATGAGCTCTGTTCTCCTGCCTCCCCCCTTACATGTCATGCACAACAACAACAACAATTTATTTATACCCCACCCATCTGGCTGTGTTTCCCCAGCCACTTTGGGAGGCTCCCAACAGAATATTAAAAATAGAATCAAACATTAAAAACTTCCCCAAACAGGGCTGCCTTCAGATGTCTTCTAAAAGTCAGTTGTTTATTTCCTTGACATCTGATGGGAGGGCGTTCCACAGGGCGGGTGCTGCTACTGAGAAGCCCCTCTGCCTGGTTCCCTGTAACCTCACTTCTTGCAGCGAGGGAACCACCAGAAGGCCCATGGAGCTGGACCTCAGTGTCCAGGCTGAATGATGGGGATGGAGACGCTCTTTTGGGTATAATGGGCTTAAATCATTAAGTTATGTTTTGGAGGTAAACTTAACCATGGATTGCTGGTTCAAATGTAATGGCAAATTATGCTTTGATGAAAACAGGAAGTGACAAAAGTCTGAATGCAGCCCAACATTCAGCCAACGCCATCTAACTGGCATAGTGTTAGCTTTCCTCTGCAACCACGAAATAAAATTAGAGCCCTTTTGGGGAGACTTGAACTAAATAACCATATTACAGAATCACTGGTGTCCATCTTCTCTTTGATGGACAACTTATGCATCAGCGTCCCCTAATTGATGGCTGAAAGTGACATTGAGTGATGACTTGTGTACATAAACATAAGTCGTAAAGGTTAAAAAGCCACAGGTAACATTAAGGGTTGCAAGTGCAGCTGCTTGTTTTCAAGTGTACTGTGCTTTGAAGACTTACATGCATGTGTGAACCAGCCCTTTCCCTTCCCCACTTCCCTGGAATGCCTTCTACTTACCAAAGCAGAGGGGTGTTTTTGGCTTTTGTTTGGGGGGAGCCACACTGACCTGCAAGGAAAAAGGGAGGTGAGACAGCTGATTACACAGCCCTGAGTAATTTTGTCCTAGTTATTGGGTAAGTTGCAAAGGTTTTTTCCAGGGTGCCTTTAGCATAGCAGGCAAACACTCAGCATCCTAAACCTTTCTCAGCACAGTTAAGGCAGGCAGGATTGAGCATGTGAAGCCTTTCCTACCATGCAGCATTTAAAGGGGGGAAAAAATCTTTTGCAAGGCTAAGGGCCACATTCCCTTGCAGACAAATCTTTGGTGGCTGCATGCTGATGGTGGGCATGGCCAGAGGCAAAACTGGGTGGGTCAACAGCTGTGACTTTTTCCTTTGCATAGCAGGCTAAATTCCAGCCCTGTCAAAAACAGAGGTTCCTCTGCATCCCCCATCCAGGCAAGGGGCAGCCTTTGTCACAGGTCCAGGATACTTAACCAGGGGCGTCTTGCCCATAGAGGCAAGTGGCGTGGGGCGCTAGGGCGCCAAGTTCTGGAGGGTGCCAGGGAAGAGGCAGAGGATGGGCGCGGCGCCTCCCAGCATCCGCTTGCCGCCCTCGCCCGCCTTGCTGAAACAGCAGCACACCCGGAGCCTTCACCTCTTCCCTGCCAGAGGAGCCGCCCTGCAGCCGCTGCCCACCTCCTTCAGCCCCACAAAGCTGCTGGCAGCGCCGTAAAAAGGTTGGCAACTCTGGGAAACGGGGGTGGGGGTGGCTGCCGGAGGATCTTTGCAGCACGACGCCGGATATACTTAAGACGGCCCTGTACTTAAGTGAGTGTTCACTGACAGCAACACACGACTCTGCAGCCAAAGGACCAGAACAGGAATGAATGGGGAAGACTGCGCCCCTCCTGATGTAGGGCAACAACTGCCATAATCCCTGAGCACCGGCCATGCTGGCGGGGGCTGTGGAGAGTTAGGCTCCAACAACAGTTGGAGGGTCACAATTGCCCCCGCCCGTGGACTAGAAACTTGGCTGTTAATAAGTGGGTAAAGCTAACATTTTAGAAATGGAACACTTTCCAATTGGCCCCCTGACCCCTGGGTTGCTCTCTGCCCCAGCAGCAGCATCATAGTTCTGCCTTCTTCCTCCACATTAGGCAAAGGCTTCCTCTTTCCCCTGAGAAATTATACTTTCCTCAACTGAGGATTTGTGAATCACTGGCTTATGCTGGGCAATGAGAAACAGGTTTGTCCCCAGTGGAAGTGGTGGCATTGGACTTCCGGGTCAGCGCCATCGTTAATGGCGGATTCCCTCTGAGTCTCGGAGGGACCAGCTCCGCGGGATTGGGTCTTACCGCTGCGGCAAAGCGGGGGCCCTTTAAAAATTACAGGCGGGGGAAGCCTGTGAACGTGGGGACTTGGCGGGCACCTTTTGCGCCCCCCCAAGTTGCGAAGGGGCCCTTTTAAGGGCTCCGGAGCGGGACGGGGTGAGCGGCGCGGTGCTGAGAGTCGACTGCTTCTTCCGTGGAGTGAAGCCGCACAGCCGTTATCGGAGAGCGCTGACTTTTTCCTGGGACAATTGGACTTTGAAAGCAACTACCCGTGAGTAGGATTAAACTGGATTTAAAAGGAGAAAAAACAAGTTAATTCGACACCGAAGCGGGAAGGTATAAACAGGAAGTCTGCCTTCCTTTCTTGTAAATAGATCAAAGCAAAGAGACTGTAAAGCGGAAACTCGGAAAGACGTTTGGAAAAAGACTTAAATCTTAACATCTGGAAAGCGGTCTCCCCTCCGGATTGCAGGAGAGGAGGGGGGAAGGTTTGAACTGTACTTATCTGCAAAAAAAAAAGGGGGAAAGGAAGCTAAAATCCGCTGCCTAAAACCTGGGAACGGACTGCCCCTAGATAAAGAACGTCGTTCAGTGGAAAGCCTATCGGTAAGCAGTAGACTTTTGACAGCTAACTCTGCAAAAGAGATACAGTGTTTCTGGACCTCTCCTGGTTCTAAAGTAACTGTTTAAGTGCAACTGAAACTGTTGTTTTTAGATGAATTGGGGGAACTTATAAGGACTATTTTCATTTTTAAAAGTTGCAAGCTTTGGCGGTTACTGTGTCCCCCTAGAGGAGGTTTGACATTGCTACAATAACAACTGGGTCAGAGGAAAATTCCATTCCAAAACAACCTTTCAACTGTGGGATCGACCTTGAATTTTCATGAGAGTGTTATGGCAGATGCGAGAGGAAAGTTAGAGCTGGCGCAGGAAAAAACAACCAGGTCTGGCAGACCCTATCAGACAGATACTGCGCAGCAGCGAAGGGCTTCAACATCTGGAGCATCTGGAACATCAGGGGCTGCCCTTCCACAGGTCAAACCAAAAGCTATGTCGTCCGAAGACGTTTTGGCACATGCACTTGGAAAAATTAATGAATCTTTGGAAAATTTAGCTAAGCAGGTAGCCGAGACAAATAAACAAGTAGCTGAAGCATCAGTTCAAATTGACCTGAATACTACAAGCATTAATAATTTGGGACAGAAGGTGAATACCAATACAGAGTCTATTGAAAAATTATTACAGGAATCTGCTTCGACCCGAAAGATAGCTGAAGAAGCAAAAGATATAGCAACTGCTACTCAAGAGAAGATACCACCGGTATATAAGCAATTGGAGGACCACGGTTTGACATTGTCTATGATTGAATTGAAAGAGAAACAAAGAAATCTAAGAATCAGGGCTGTACCAGAACGTGAGAAAGACAATTTGGCTGAATTCCTTACACAGGAATTTACAGATTTTTGGCAACAGGACTTGGGGAAGGAAGAATTTAAGATAGTGAATGCATTTAGACTTGGAAGAGGACAAAGGAGGAACAAGGCTAGGGACTGCTTGATTACTCTTCGAACAAAAGAGGAGAGAGACAAAATTTTGAATTTGCACTATCAAAAGACTTTGGAAATTTACGACTCAAGTGTGGAGATATTTAAGGACATTCCAAAACATCTTTTGGACTTAAGGTTTAACTACGGAGACCTAGTAGCCCTGTTGAGAAGAAATAGAATCCTCTTTAGGTGGGAATTTCCTCAAGGCTTATCCTTTAAATACAAAGGAAGAAAGATAAAAATAAGATCAGTTAACGATAAAGATAGGTTTCTGAAAGATCACGAAGAAGACCTACAGAAAGAAGCGGAATCCGGAGAAGAGCCAAAAACACTGGAAAAAGGAATACTGGACATAGCAAACTTATCTTTTGGATTGCACGGCCCAGAGAAAGAGACACCATCGACAGAACAAGAACAGACACTTGGCGCAGTTGGAGGTAAAGCGAAGTAACCCCATCATGGCTCTGCAACTGTTAAGTTGGAATTGTAATGGTTTGAACTCTCCTCGAAAGAGAAAAAGTGTTTTTCATTTACTAAAAAAAGGAACAATTGGACTTGATTTGCTTACAAGAAACACATGTAACAAGGTTACACAGGAAATTACTGATTAATAAAAGATTGGGACAGGAGTTTATCTCATCTGACAAAGTTAAAAAAAGAGGAGTTGTGATATATGCAAAGGAGAGACTATCACCGAAATTAATTTATAAAGATGAACAAGGCAGATTTTTGGCAATTGAAATTCAAGTTCAAGGAGAGAAATTTTTGATCGTAGGAATTTATGCACCGAATGAGGGGAAATCTGAATTCTTTAAAAAGTTGCATGAGACTTTATTGGACTATTTGGATTACAATCTGATTCTGATGGGGGATATGAATGGAGTAGTATCTACAAACATGGACAAGGCACAAAGACAGGTAGTTACCAAGGATGGTAGACTACCGAAAACATTTTTTGAGATGACAGACAATATGGACTTAGTGGACATTTGGAGAGTAAAGAACCCCCTGGGAAGAGAGGGAACTTTCTTTTCTGAAGCCAAGATGACATGGACTAGAATTGATCAAATATGGGTAACTAGAGGAATGGCACCAAAGATAAAGAAAGTGGAAATCTGCCCAAAAACCTGCTCCGACCATAACGCTGTAAGGATGGAGATGAAACAAATATCAACTGGCTCCTTCAGATGGAGGATGAATGACACCTTATTTAGAGATGAAGAAGTCTATAAAAAGGCCCAAAAAACTTTGAGAGATTATTTTGAAATAAATATGAACACCAATGTAGAAAAAAGAGTAATCTGGGACGCAAGTAAAGCTGTTATGAGAGGGTTTCTGATACAACAGAATGCAATAAAGAAGAGAAGTCAAAATGAGAAGAAAGATAAAATTTTGGAGAAAATAAAAGAAAGTGAGAAGAAACTGAGAGCAAAACCAAAGTCGCAGGAGATTTTGAGAGAAATAAAATTATATCAAGTACAATATATGGAAATGATGAATCAGGAAATAGAATGGAAAATTAAACAAATGAGACAAAAACATTTGAATCAGCTAATAAATGTGGGAAATTGCTGGCCTGGCAAATGAAAAAAAGACAAAAATTAAATACTATCACAAACTTAGAAGTGGAAGGAAAGAATATACATAACCCAATTGAGATTAGAAACTGTTTCCAGAGGTATTTTAAACAATTATACACACAAGGGCCACAGAAAGAAATGGACATAGACAAATTTTTGAAGACAAATGGACTACAAAAATCTCCCAAGAAAGCAAATTAATGTTGAACTATAAAATATCTGAACAGGAAGTAGAAGGTGCCATTCAAAATATGCAATTGGGCAAATCTCCAGGACCGGATGGGCTGACTTCTAGATATTATAGATCTTTGAAAGAGTGGCTATTACAACCTTTGAAGGAAGTCTGTAATGAAATATTGGAAAGGAAAAGGGCACCAGAGTCGTGGAAAGAGGCGTACATTACACTTATACCAAAAACAGAGACTGAAAAGACTCAGCTTAAGAACTACCGCCCTATATCGTTACTTAATGTGGATTACAAAATTTTTGCAGACATTTTGGCCAAGAGATTGAAAAAGTATTGATGGAAGAGATCCATAAAGACCAAGCGGGCTTTCTCCCAGGAAGACACTTGTCTGATAATTTGAGAAATATAATTGATATTTTGGAAAAACTAGAAGTGAATATAAATACTAAAGCAGTTCTGATATTTGTGGACGCGGAGAAAGCCTTTGACAACATCTCTTGGAGCTTCATGAAGAAGAACCTACAGGGGATGGGGGTAGGCCAAGGTTTTGAAAATGGTATAGGTGCAATATACTCTGAACAAAAGGCTAAACTAATTGTAAATAATGTGGTGACGGAAGAATTTAAGATAGAAAAAGGGACACGACAGGGGTGCCCAATCTCCCCACTGCTTTTTATATCGGTCCTGGAGGTTCTGCTGAATATGATTAGAAGGGACCGGTTGGTTAAAGGTATACAGGTCGGAGCCAAACAGTACAAACTGAGAGCATTTGCAGATGACTTAGTATTGACGTTACAGGAGCCAGAATCTAGTACTAAAAGGGTTTTAGAACTAATTCAAGAATTTGGTCAACTGGCAGGATTTAAACTGAACAAGTTAAAAACTAAGGTTTTAGAGAAAAATTTAACACTGATTGAAAGAGAGAGGTTTCAGAATGAGACAGGCCTGACTGTGGTTAAGAAAGTGAAATACCTGGGGATTAACATGACAGCCAAAAATGGGAACTTATTTAAAGATAATTATGAAAAATGTTGGACGGAAGTGAAAAAAAGATTTAGAAATCTGGTCAAATTTGAAGCTTTCACTGTTGGGTCGTATTGCTGTGATAAAAATGAATGTATTGCCTAGAATGCTGTTTTTGTTTCAAACACTGCAAATTGTGGACAAGATGGACTGTTTCAAGAAGTGGCAGAGAGATATTTCTAGATTTGTCTGGCAGGGCAAGAAGCCCAGAATAAAATTTAAGATATTAACTGATGCAAAGGAAAGGGGTGGATTTGCCCTGCCAGACTTTAAACTTTACTATGAATCAGCAGCCTTCTGCTGGTTGAAAGAATGGCTACTTCTTGAAAACACAGACATTTTGGACTTAGAAGGTTTTAACAATGTATTTGGATGGCATGCATATCGGTGGTATGACAAGGTCAAAGCGCATAAAGCATTTAAAAACCATATTGTCAGGAAAGCACAGTTTAATGTTTGGATAAGATATAAGGATTTGTTGGAAAACAAAACCCCAAGGTGGCTGTCACCGATGGAAGCGAAAGCTCTGAAAAGGCTCAATATGGAGGCCAATTGGCCGAAATATTGGGAAATTTTGGAACAAGATGGAGATAGACTGAAACTGCAGAGTTTTGAGAAACTAAAAAATAAAGGAAGTGGTGGCATTTTGTGTCCAGCTATGGATACGATGCTATTGCAGCTGAATGCCTACTCAGCAGCACTGGGGCATGCAAACCAATATAAAGAATGCAGGAATGGTGCCATCCTTGACCAGGGATCTGAAAATAGCCCATCCAACCAAACCAAATCCAACCAGATTTTGCCTATGCTGTCACAAGCTCAAATGGTTATAAGAGTAAGTGCACCCATAGTTATAAGCACAGAACTGGTGGGCTTAAAACAATAGCAACAAAACCTTGAGGGCTAGAAGAGTGGGGAGGAGCAACAGGCTCTGCCAGGTTCCTGCCAATCGTATCTCCACCTTGTTCTTACCTTCGAGATGTAGGTCAGCTGCAAAGATCCCACTGCTTTGGCCCCCACAGCCAAGTTCTGAAATGGGTTAAGAAGTCAATCAGTCAAGTGGCAATGAACAACCAAACCCTCAGATTGCTTATTTAGAATTAGAGATGACCAATGGCAAGAATGCTAAAATTGAGCGACTGGAGCAGCCTTCTTCAAGCAGCCTAGCGTCCTCTAAACCCCTAACCCCTGGCCATGCTGGCTGGGGCTGATGAGAGATAGAGACAACTGGAAGGCACCATGTTGGAGAAGGCAGCTGTGGAGGATCTGGCCCACTGCCTGCCTGCCCTGGAGTATGGCTGCCCAAATCTCTTTTCTGATGAGAGCAGCTTTTGCATCTCATTTGGAAACCAAGGACCCAGAGTCTGGAGAAACAATGGGGAGGCACATAATGCCAGATGCTTGAAGTCCAGTGTGAAGTTTCCACAGTCTGTGTTGATTTGGGGAGCCATGTCATCAGCTGGTGTTGGTCCACTGTGCTTCATTAAGTCCAGGGTCAACGCAGCCGTCTACCAGGAGATTTTGGAGTGCAGACAAGCTTTATGGGGATGCTGACTTCATTTTCCAGCAGGACTTTGGCACCTGCCCACACTGCCAAAAGTACCAAAACCTGGTTCAATGCCCATGGGATTACTGTGCTTGATTGGCCAGCAAACTCACCTGACCTGAACCCCATAGAGAATCTATGGGGCATTGCCAAGAGAAAGACGAGAGACATGAGACCGAGCAATGCAGAAGAGCTGAAGGCTGCTACTGAAGCATCCTGGTCTTCCATAACACCTCAGCAGCTCCACAGGCTGATAGCATCCATGCCACGCCGCATTGAGGGAGTAATTGATGCAAAAGGGGCCCAAACCAAGTACTGAATACATATGCATGCTTCTACTTCTCAGAGGTCCAATATTGCTCTATTTGCAATCCTTGTTTTGATGATTTCATTTAATATTCTAATTTTCTGAGATTGTTAATTTGGGGTTTTCATCAGCTGTACGCCATGATCATCACAATTATAGCAAATAAAGGCTTAACATAGCTCGCTTTGCATGTCATGAGTCTATCTCATATATTAGTTTCACCTTTTAAGTTGAATTACTGAAATAAATGAACTTTTCCATGATATTCTAATTTTCCGAGTTTCACCTGTATTTGTGCACCTGGTTCTTCCTCCCTAAGTGCAGAACCTTACATTTGTCCCTATTGAGATTATTTTTATTAGCCTGGGCCCAGTTCTCCAATCTGTGAATGTCATTTTGAATTCTGATTCTGTTTTTTGCAGCATTAGCTACCCCTCCCAGTTTGGTGTCATCTGTAAATTTGCTGAGCATCAGGCCAAGAGAAAATACCTGGCCAAGCATCACACATTATGTTTCATGGCTGAACAGAGCCCATGAGGACAATCCCATCAACTGTTCATGGACAACTGTTCTTGTCTAAATCTTCTGCCCACGTGTGTTATAGCACACTGAGCCCTTGTTCTACTGTTCCTTTTAAAATACTAAATGGATAGATACTGAATAAAATCTGTGGTAGTTACTTCAAATGGATGAGTGCAAAGGAAGGGGTGCAGATCCCATACCAGCTTCTAAACTGACTGTGTTCAGTTCTCAGCTTGCAAAGTCCAGTTGTCCAGGGGGGTTTCCCAGACAAGACTTTTTGTTGTGGCTTCCTTGCAAAGATGCTCAGACAGTTCAAGGCATGATATGAGTCACAGCAAACCGCTGGGTCAGATTTCCTCTTTGAGCTCATAAAGCTGAGCTTCACAAGAGCTGCTGTGTGTGAGTGTCTATTTTGATGTCTGGTGGCAGCATCCAGACTTGAGATCCTGTTTGCAGGGTTCTGTCTGGTGTTCTGGAGTGTGAGACAGGAGCTAGGTCTGAGTTACCATAGAAGGTAAGTGCTGTGGCCTTAGGAGAACGGAAAGGAGTAGAGGTGCAAAACATCAACTATGCTGACTGACAGCTTGAACTGAGGCTTTGGATTGGCCAGCCCTGCTATAAATATGAGAAGCCTGGCTTTCTGCCCCTGCCCCATCAACAGAGAAACATTTCCCCGCTGCCCAAGCAACTGCTCTAGCATAGGACCCTCTTTGCAGCTATAGCAATGGACAGCAGGGCTGGCATTAAGCGGTGGCATGGTCAGGCATCTGCCAGGGGCCCACACAGCAAAAGGGAGCCACCAGGACCTGCTGCAATGGGGACATGCTCATAAAACTAGAACACATGGACTTCCAATGAAGCTGAACATTAGACAATTCTGGACAGAAAAAAAGAAAGTCCTTTGAATAGCATATGGTTAAAGATGGAACTTGCTCCCAAAGGATACAGTGATGGCCATCAACTTGCATGGCTTTAAAAGAGGATTAGACAAATTCATGGAGCTATGTTTTACAATGCTCCTGAATTCTAGTCGCTGGAAAGCACAGGAGCGAGAGGGATCTTGTGCTCAAATCCTGCTTGTGGATTTTTCACAGGCATCTGGTCAGCCACTTTGAGAACAGGAGGGTAGACGGGATGAGCCATTGGCCAGATGCAGCAGGCTCTTCCTATACTCTTAGGTTCTTAGCCTCACACTGGAAATTATCTGAAACATCATCGAGTCCAACCCACCTTCTCCACACATGCCCATGATAGAAATCTGCCCACATAACTGGCAGAACCAGAAAGCGTGGAGACCTGCAGCATCACTCCAATAAGAGCCAAGCAGCCTGAGGCTACGAGGTGCCAGGATCACATCTCATGAGCAGCTTAAGCTCCATTGTCAGTAATATTATTTTGCCCACCCCTCATCGTGTGATCACAGGGCAGGTTGTAGGACAATAAAAAACATAAAACAATTTCCATAACATTAAAATGCAACCAAGTTCAGCAGAACCAAGAGTGGGTGAGGATAGAAGACCACCCATAGGTCATCACGGTAGCAGCAGTCAAACATCCCATGGAGATTACTACCCCACAAAATCCTGGGCAAAAGAGGTAGGTCTTTATTTGGCGCCCACTGAAATGTGTACATGTGAATCAAGAATGTGCAGCACAGCTTTCTCCAACCTGGTGCCCTCCAGACATGTTGGACTACTATTGTCCCACCGTCCCTGACCATTCATGGAAATTAATGGGAGAAAACATCTAACAGCTCACCTCCACTGGTGGTGCTCATCCTGCTGTACTGCAAGGGCCACAGCAACCTGACTTAAATATAGTTCAGAGATTTATACAGTCACAGTTTGTGGGGAAGGTCTGGATTATATCTTGGGCCCTTCCCAAGCCTGCTTAGAACTTAGTGGAAGAGGTTACTGAACCAGCCAAATTGGTTCCTTTGTCAAGGCAATGACTTTGGCTGGCCACTTCAGTATGCTATTTACCATATTCAAAGAGGTTGCCCTGTTGCCATAGATACAAATGGATGGGCCCTTTCCCACCTCACCTGACAGGATGCCACAGGATGGATGGGAAACAACAGGCCAGGCGTTGTGTCTGGGAGAGTTGGATGCAAGAGTTTGGCCCTACATCCCAGTTCCCACTGTCCTTCATTCCAAGGAAATGGTGCCTTGGATAAGCACAAGGGAGCAAACAACAGCTTTTGCATGCTGCACACATTCCAGACCCAATGGTCGGTATTTAAATCCTTACACATGCACATCAACTGCTTTCATACAATTAACATTAAGTCCAGTTTGGGCTGAGTCTCAGTGATAAAGAAGTAGCACCTCAACATCCATCTCAGTTGCTTTACCAAATGGGGCACTGAGACACTGGAATGTGCTTCTTCTTTCTATCACATGATTTCTATATAAATCTAACAGGACTGGGGGAGGGGGGACTCTACAAAGGACCTGAAGAACGTCACAGAAAGGCTGCTGCTTTCAGGTGGGCCACTGGTGTCTACTTCTGAGGACAGGCATTACCTGGGGATTGTCCATGTACCACAGAAGGCTATTGGCCTGGGTATCCAGGATGAAATATCTTCGCAGGAACTTCCCACAGGACTCATTGTCCTCAATGTCCAGGAACCCACAGATTCGGTTCTGACGATCCACATAAGGCATTCCGGGCTCCTTCTAGCATCACCCTGTGAAGCACAGATACAGAGAGATGTGAACCAGGCCTTTTGCAAGCATAGGTGCCCTGTACAATGCCCCACCACCCTTCCTTATTCTTGCTACAGAGGTCTCTACATCTCATGACTCAGTCGAGTGAAAAAAAACCACCCATGCTGGTCAGTGCTGCTGACATCATTATTTGACAGAGCACTGTGTGAACTTTCCTGGGCTCCAAGACTGGTCAGAAGAGGCCCCACTTAAGTGTCCACTATTCAAATAATATCATTCCAGAAGCCACAAAGGACAGGGCCTTTTTAGTGGTGGCCTGTGGAATTTCCTTAAGTGAGATGTGCTGTTTCTAAAATGACCTTAAAGCAGAAGTTTTCAACCTTTTTGAGTCCCTGGCTCCCTTGACCAACTACATTCTTTCTGCAGCTTCCCAATGGGGCTCAGGAGCCCAGTTATGTTTCCCCCCCTGCCTGCAGAGCCGGCAGCCCCTCACCCCTTAATAATAATAATAATAATAATAATAATAATAATAATAATTTATTATTTATACCCCACCCATCTGGATGAGTTTCCCCAGCCACTCTGGGCGGCTTCCAATCAAGTGTTAAAAACAATACAGCATTAAATATTAAAAACTTCCCTAAACAGGGCTGCCTTCAGATGTCTTTTAAAGAGAAGATAGCTGCTTATTTCCTTCACATCTGAAGGGAGGGCGTTCCACAGGGCAGGCGCCACTACCGAGAAGGCCCTCTGTCTGGTTCCCTGTAACCTCACTTCTTGCAATGAGGGAACCGCCAGAAGGCCCTTGGTGCTGGATCTCAGTGTCCAGCAGAACGATGGGGGTGGAGACGCTCCTTCAGGTATACAGGACCGAGGCCATTTAGGGTTTTAAAGGTCAGCACCAACACTTTGAATTGTGCTCAGAAACGTACTGGGAGCCAATGCAGATCTCTCAGGACCTGTGTTATGTGGTCCCGGCAGCCACTCCCAGTCACCAATCTAGCTGCCGCATTCTGGATTAATTGCAGTTTCCAGGTCACCTTCAAAGGTAGCCCCACATAGAGTGCATTGCAGTAGTCCAAGTGGGAGATAACTAGAGCATGCACCACTCTGGCAAGACAGTCAGCAGGCAGGTAGGGTCTCAGCCTGCGTACCAGATGGAGCTGGTAGACAGCCTCCCTGGCACAGAATTAACCTGCGCTTCCATGGACAGCTGTGAGTCCAAAATGACTCCCAGGTTGGACTTCCGGGTCAGCGCCAACGACGAATGGCGGAGTTCCTCCGATTGGAGGAACGGGCTCTGTGGAAATTGGGTCTTCCCGCCGCGGCGATGGTGGGGGCCCGCTAGAAATCCCAGGCGGAGAAGCCTGGGAACGTGGGGTTCGGCAGAGCACCAAGAGCGCATCCCCTACTCACGAGGAAACCCCTTTTCGGGGCTCCGGAGTGAAGTGGGGTGAGCAGCACGGTGCTGCGAACCGATTGCTATTTCCATGGAGGGAAGCCGCGCAGCCATCGCCGGAGAGCGCTGACTTTTTCCTGATGACATTTGGACTCTAAATCAAGCACCCGTGATTAAAAACGGAGAATTGGATTAAGAAATTTGCAAAATTTATGAATTAGGCACAAAGCGGGAAGGTGTAAACAGGAAGTCTGCCTTCCGTTTTTGTATATAGATTGAAGCAAAGACCTCGCAACCTAATAGCCTGAAAAACTATTTTAAAGTTGGAAATTTCCTGCATCCACAACCAATAAAACCCCCTTGGAAGCAGGAGAAAAGGGGGGGGGATTTGACTGTTTAATCCTGCAGGAGGAGAGTAAAGGAATTTAAGTTTCCATCGCCCCAAACCTGGGGACGGGGTGTCGGGACAGAAACTGTTTGAGACATCCATTGATTGAAAGTGGAGCACTTTGACAGATAGTTAAAAAAAAAAAAGAGAAACAAATTAACTTCAACGCTACTTTCTGCATTTCTGCTTTTTAAAGAAACAAAGTATTTGAAATCGAAAGGAATTGAAATCGAAAGTAATCTTCTTTGTTGGATATATTTTAAAAATGGATACAAATAGAAATTGTGTCCCCTAGAGGGAGCCTGTTAGTTTGTTGTTGCAGCTTACTTGGAGACTCTACAGATGTGAGATTTGGATCGTGGGACCAGCCGTTTGACCTTGATCTTGAACAGAAATGTGTTGGCAGGAAGGCTTGGTGTCTGCCCTTGGCATGACTAATGCTTTGCTGGAGCAGCTGCATGAGAAAATGAACTTGATGCATGAAAAATTGGACCTGATGAGTGCTGTGGCCAGTGAATATGATTTAACAGGGAATAAGGATAAAGAAGTTATACAGCAATCAATTCAGGAATCTGGTTTGACAAGGCAAGTCCAAGGGCAGATGGAGAAAGAAGAGGCAGTGATTACTTCTCAAACAACACAAATGGAAAGATCCAAAGTCCTGCAGGAACAAAAGCTACTGCGTTGGAAGATTGAGCTTGGAGACTGCTGGGAAGTATTTGAAGTCACGGAAGCTTTTAACTCTAGTGGGACTATGAAACAGGTGAACAACTATCTTCTGGATAAATATTCTTTGGATTACAAAGATGAAGACGGGGAGTGGGATGGGGGGAAGGGGCCAATCTGATGAAGGAAAATGGAAACTATTACCATAGAATCATAGAATCATAGAATCATAGAGTTGGAAGAGACCACTAGGGCCATCGAGTCCAACCCCCTGCCAAGCAGGAAACACCATCAGAGCACTCCTGACATATGGATGTCAAGCCTCTGCTTAAAGACCTCCAAAGAAGGAGACTCCACCACACTCCTTGGCAGCAAATTCCACTGTCGAACAGCTCTTACTGTCAGGAAGTTCTTCCTAATGTTTAGGTGGAATCTTCTTTCTTGTAGTTTGGATCCATTGCTCCGTGTCCGCTTCTCTGGAGCAGCAGAAAACAACCTTTCTCCCTCCTCTATGTGACATCCTTTTATATATTTGAACATGGCTATCATATCACCCCTTAACCTCCTCTTCTCCAGGCTAAACATGCCCAGCTCTCTTAGCCGTTCCTCATAAGGCATCGTTTCCAGGCCTTTGACCATTTTGGTTGCCCTCCTCTGGACACGTTCCAGTTTGTCAATGTCCTTCTTGAACTGTGGTGCCCAGAACTGGACACAGTACTCCAGGTGAGGTCTGACCAGAGCAGAATACAGTGGCACTATTACTTCCCTTGATCTAGATGCTATACTCCTATTGATGCAGCCCAGAATTGCATTGGCTTTTTAGCTGCCGCGTCACACTGTTGGCTCATGTCAAGTTTGTGGTCAACCAAGACTCCTAGATCCTTTTCACATGTACTGCTCTCAAGCCAGGTGTCCCCATCTTGTATTTGTGCCTCTCATTTTTTTGCCCAAGTGCAATACTTTACATTTCTCCCTGTTAAAATTCATCTTGTTTGTTTTGGCCCAGTTCTCTAATCTGTCAAGGTCGTTTTGAAGTGTGATCCTGTCCTCTGGGGTGTTAGCCACCCCTCCCAATTTGGTGTCATCTGCAAATTTGATCAGGATGCCCTTGAGTCCATCATCCAAGTCGTTGATAAAGATGTTGAATAAGACCGGGCCCAAGACAGAACCCTGTGGCACCCCACTAGTCACTCTTCTCCAGGATGAAGAGGAACCATTGATGAGCACCCTTTGGGTTCGGTCAGTCAGCCAGTTACAAATCCACTGAGTGGTAGCATAGTCAAGACCGCATTTTACCAGCTTCTTTACAAGAATATCATGAGGCACCTTGTCAAATGCCTTGCTGAAATCAAGGTAGGCTACATCCACTGCGTTCCCTTCATCTACCAGGCTTGTAATTCTGTCAAAAACGAGATCAGGTTAGTCTGACATGACTTATTTTTCAGAAATCCATGCTGACTATTGGTGATCACAGCATTCCTTTCTAGGTGCTCACAGACTGTTTGCTTAATGATCTGCTCCAGAATCTTCCCTGGTATTGATGTCAGACTGACTGGGCGGTAATTATTTGGGTCCTCTCTTTTCCCCTTTTTGAAAATAGGGACAACATTTGCCCTCCTCCAGTCTGCCGGGACTTCGCCTGTTCTCCAGGAATTCTCAAAGATGACTGCCAGTGGTTCTGAGATCACATCTGCCAGTTCTTTTAATACTCTTGGATGCAGTTCATCTGGCCCTGGAGACTTGAATACATCTAAACTAGCCAAGTATTCTTGTACTATCTCCTTAGTTATTCTGGGCTGTGTTTCCTTTGCTGAATCATTTGCTCCAAATTCTTCAGGTCGGGCATTGTTTTCTTTATCGGAGAAGACTGAGGCAAAGAAGGCATTGAGGAGTTCAGCTCTTTCTGTGTCCCCTGTTTGCATTTCACCATCTTCTCCTCTGAGTGACCCCACTGTTTCTTTGTTCTTCCTTTTGCTACGGACATACCCATAAAAGCCTTTTTTGTTGCTTTTAACCTCTCTAGCAAGCCTGAGTTCATTCTGTGCTTTAGCTTTTCTGACTTTGTGTCTACACGTGCTGGCTATTTGTTTGAATTCCTCTTTGGTGGTTCCTCCCCTTTTCCATTTTTTGTACACATCCTTTTTTTAATCTTAACTCAGTTAAAAGTTCTTTAGATAGCCACCCTGGCTTCTTTAGGCACCTTCCATGTTTCTGTCTCACTGGTATTGCCTGACGTTGTGCTTTTACTATCTCCCTCTTAACAAACTCCCATCCATCATGAACTCCCTTTCCTTTTAGTATTACTGTCCATGGGATCTCACCCAGCACTTCCCTAAGTTTTATGAAGTCGGCTTTCTTAAAGTCAAGAAATTGAGTCCTAGTATGCTTGGCTGCTCCTTTCCGCTGTATAGTAAACTTCAGAAGAGCATGATCACTCGCACCTAATGATACCGGATGGAACCCTCCGGAGACCCACTCCCCAAGAAACCAACAATTGACAAAGAAGTGCGCAAGCACAAACAAGAACAAAAAAATTTGCAGAAG